GGCTATAAAATACTGCTAACATTGCTGATGTAGTTAGCATCTGAACTAAAGTTTCACTACCGGCTCGCTGGCGGCTATAATAGTTAACTGCTACTGTCAGATCTTCTGTTCATTCACTAATTGAATGTACCGATGAAGTTACCAGTGAATGGCGTCACATAGCATACATTCGTCGCGACCAAGAGCCCAATTAGCGACAGCAGCCTGCCTGATGAGTTGAGGCAGCAGGATGTGGAACTTCTCGCTTCTGAAGCGTCGATGTCAAAGTTACGAGTGCCACCTCGGACATCAGAATATTGGAGTATTTGGCTGTGCTGGGTGCATGTCATTAAAAAAATTAGATCAGTACTCACTGCAGTGAGTGACAGAGAGCACATTTTCTCGTCCGTTCGTGACGTGAAGTCACTTATGGATGGACATGACGAGCACAATAGCGCCTTTTTTCCATAAATAAGACAAATGCGCTAAAAAGGCTTGATGAGCGTAGCTTACAAGCATTTTTAGGGACCTCGAAGTTATAGTGTTTGGGTTGAAAAGAGTAAAAATGATATAAACATTAGGTGACGTTGTAGGTGAGAGGAGTTATAGTTGTTTTAACACTTATGACGTGAAGATCATAGCAACACTACCGAGGTATGCGACGGGGGGGCGTGATGAAGAGCTTTCTTACGGAGAATGATAATTATTTTTAGGAAACATAAATTTTGTTTGATTTTTGCTTTGACTGTCCAATGATTGCTCAAGAAAACATAACAAATTTTGTTTTGTTGACGAACACAAATGGCTGATGAGAACGAGACTAATGGGAACACGGATGACTGTTGAGAACGAGCCTAATAATAATGAATAATAATAATAGCGGTTTCAGCGTTTATTAGGGCGTAGGCCTGTCGCCGATTCTGAACATCGCAGAACATTCGCAGCATTTTGCGGGCTTGAACTCGCAACTCACTGCTCTAATTCTGCTTTGCTTAACCGCCCGGCCTCCTTGCCGATTCTGACCAGAAACTGGCGCACTGAACTGGGATCGAACCCGCGCCTCTATTATATTATATTATATTATATTATATTATATTATATTATATTATATTATATTATATTATATTATATTATATTATATTATATTAAATAATGTTGCCCGATTATAAATCGAGCTAGGTAATTATATAAACGGTCAGTAAAAATTGAATGTGATCATTAATCATTTGGGGGCTTAGCCATGGTTGAATTAATGTATTGATAACCATGGCTATACTATATTTTATTATACTATACATCATCATGACTATATTATTTTTGACTTAACCTCTAATTATTCAGAACATACCTACATGAAAAACAAAGAAGCCTAAGCCCATGGTTGAATTAATGTATTAATTCAACCATGGGCTTGGCCTTCTTTGTCTTTCATGTAGGTATGTTCTGATCCTCTCGTGTCTTTTTTAGCCACTTGTAACGTGCCCTCGAAGTTCGATCCGAACGAGACGCCACGACAATCTCTTCGTGGAATAATAATAATAGGAGGTTAGGTCAAAAATAATATAGTCAGCGCTCCAATATCGGCCATTTAGCCATTTTCTGCGAGAGCTGATGAAGAAAATTTAGTGTTCGTGGTATAACTATGAATAAACTGATTCAGTTATAATTAATTCGTTACCTTATGAAAATGTTTGCCGATTATTAGGACCGTTTGATCCAAACAGTGAACTTTTTCAGGGCACTGAATAATTAACACTTTAGATGAAAGAATATGCTTCCATTGCTGCATTTCAGCGTCTGATATGAAGCAATATTCGTGCCACGTGCACGTTATAGGTAAACAGGTTGTCCGCAGTCCGTGTGTACCGATATTTACGAATTTTATTTTCTAATAGATTAAAACTTTTCCTTTAAATTGTCAACACTGTTTAGGTAGTTGACGTCGTGTTTACATATACTGATATAGTCTTACATCATCTTCCGGTCGATCTTTGCCGCAGGTTAGTTGTTGAAGCTCCGGGTGCTTCGAATAACTTTGTAATTATCTGAATATATGGTTTATTGTATATTGTATTCTTTCGGTCAGCTCTTAAACGACGATATTTTATGAAATTTACTTTTCATCTGGTGCTCTCATTGCAAGATATTATTATTTATTTGCGTTTCATTACCTTTTCTTGTAACTTAACTGCAGGTGTCGTCTAATACTCAATGAATCTCATTTTCTTACCTTAATTTCCAGAAAAAACTAACGTAACAATATGTATAGGTAATTACTGGCACTTACTCCACAAAGTATCGCGCGCTCTTTATCGCGTACACCGAAACCGTCCGTTTACGCAGGTCTCGGCTGAATTTACGGCCGGACACGCGGCTGGTCGCACGGCCGATCTTAAAATTCAGTGACCAAGGAATATCTCCAAAACTAATTAACGAAGCCCGAAGAAACTCGGTACATGTATTCAGGAGGACCTAACGGTAATGTTTAGCTCGTAAATATATTTTTTTTTCAATTTCACCTTCATTCATGAATTATACGGCATTTCGTGCCGAAATTTGCAGTGACCAAGAAATTTCTTCTAAACTACCGAACAGATTTGAACAAAACTTTGATTATATATTCCTAAGCTACTAACGGTGATGTTTAGCCCGTGACAATTTTTGCGCTTCTACCTTCGTTTGCGAGTTTTTTTTTCATTTCACCTTCATTCGTGAGTTATAGAGCAATTCGGGCTGAAATTTGCAGTGACCAAGAAATTTCTCCTAAACTACTTAGCAGATTTGGAAAAAAAAAACTTTGAATATGCAAACCTAACCTCCCAGCGGTCATGTTTAGGAGGCTGATTTTAAATTTGCAATGACAAAGAGCCGTATCCGCATAGCCGTATAACTCGCAAACGAAGAAAAAGTTGAAGAAAATTGACACGAGCTAAACATCACCGTTGGGAGGCTAGGTTTGTACATTCTAAGTTTCGTTCTAATCTGTTAAGTAGTTTAGGAGAAATTTCTTGGTCACTGCAAATTTCGGCAAGAATTTCCGTATAATTCATTAATGAAGGTGAAATGGAAAAAATGTTATGAGCTAAACATCACCGCTAGGTCCTCCTGAATACGTGTACCAAGTTTCATCGGGCTGCGTTCATTAGTTTTGCAGATATTCCTTGGTCACTGAATTTGGAGAATAACCGTGAGACCGGCCGCATGTCCGGCCGAAAATTTGTCCGAGACGTACAACGGGACGCTGCGACTGGCAGAACCTTACAGGTGCTCCGGGCCACGGCCGGAAAGCTGCAGGTCGGTATAAGTTACGGCGAGATCGCCGTATATTTAAGTAATCAATAATTGCTATAGTGGCCTAAGACCGTGATGGGTAAGAGATTAAAATATTCTGTGCAAAGCTTTTGGCGGCTGTGGCACCTGTGTGCCTGGTGTCTGTCGCCCGAGATGGTAAGCAAGGTTTTATGGAATAAAACTTCAGTAATCGATAATCCTTCATTATCTTTCAAACTGAACAAAATGAACGCGCGTTTCCTTAAGGCGCTCACTCACCAAACTCCTTCTAAACACGATAACGGAAGTGATCAATGGATTCGTTTACTTAATTAAGGGGAACGTTCTTGGTCAAAATTCGAACACTTTGGCTCTTCTGTTTTTAGACTCATTTTGTAGCTGCTGAAAAGGTGCGTCTAACGCATCATAACGCATGTATGTAACGCATGCTTTAGTTTTAGCGTAAAACAGATTCAAATTATTCGAAATGAACATTTTTCAACAAAATGTACATAGATTAAATTGAAAAATTAAATTTTTAGATCATTATTTACTTTAATTGCAATATGTTTAGACTCATTTTGAAGCTGCAAACAAGGTTCGTTCAACAAAGCAAATATCATTGATTTCCTTGCAATACTTTTTGCGTAAGGCCGTTTTTAACTTCGGTCGTTTTAACTATAAAATGATCATTTTATATATATGAATATATTAGAAAAATAATATTTCTAGCTTATTACAGCCGTAAAACGGGAGAAGAATAAGTCTAAGACCGTGTGATGGCATCCTCAATACTCAATCTCAACATCAATAAGCTGGGGCCTCAATTATCATGAATTTTTTTTTCGTTTATTTTTTCACTCTATTTTACTTATATGGCTACCCTGAATAATTAAAATTTCCGAAATACGCCATCTTAAAATCTGTCTCCTCCCATTATTTTCAAGCTACAGCATTGAAAGATATACCATTCGATTCGTAAAATTAATATCTAGCAATTAACCAATTGATTTATTTTATTTCGTTGTGGTTTGGATTATATTTTGCAATAAAGGGGATTTGTCTCTCGATAATGGTATGTCTCTCGATGTTGTATCACGTTAATTGTATGAGGAAATGTAGGAGAGTTTTTACAGTACCTCCTTTTTTGGGTGTTTTCTATGAATTTCAAGTTTTCTTCCATTATTTCGGATAATTTACACGAACAAAAAGGTCTTAGATTTCCATTTCACATATGTGTAAAATTTTCAAAATGATCCGTCGTTAGATAAAAAAGTTTTGATTGACCAAGACGCTCCCCAATTATCCATTCCACAATAAGTAAAAGGTAATTAGGAAACATCAGTCAATGATGACGTTGCATCTCAACTGCATATATTGAAAAAATTGCGGTTGCATAAATTTCATGCCAAAAAATTAATGTATCACAATTTGCCGTACAGTCAATCATCATTTAATTTAGTGAGCCACTTGTAATAGTTTATCGTTAGAGGATATCTTACGGTGTATTGACATGTTCGGTATATACAGCGTAGATAATTTTTTTTTCGTTTATTTTTTCACTCTATTTTACTTATATGGCTACCCTGAATAATTAAAATTTCCAAAATACGCCATCTTAAAATCTCCTCCCATTATTTTCAAGCTACAGCAATGAAAGATATACCATTCGATTCGTGAAATTAAGATCTAGCGATTCACCAATTGATTTATTTTATTTGGTTGTGGTTTAGATTATATTTTGCAATAACGGGGATATGTCTCTCGATAATGATATGTCTCTCGATGTTGTAGCACGTTAATTGTAGGAGAGTTTTTTACAGTACTTCCTTTTTTGCTGTTTTCTATGAATTTCAAGTTTACTTCCATTATTTCTGAAAATTTACACGAACAAAAAGGTCTTAGATTTCCATTTCACATATGTGTAAAAGTAAAAGTTTCAAAATGATCCGTCGGTAGATAAAAAAGTTATGTTTGACCAAGACGCTCCCCTTATTATAAATTCCACAATAAATATATAAAAGGTAATTAGGAAACAGCAGTTAATGGCGGCGTTGAATCTCAACAGCATATTTTGTGAAAAAATTGTGGTTGCATTAAATTCATACCAAAAAATTAATGTATCGCAATTTACCGTACGGTCAATCATCATTTAATTTAGTGAGCCACTTGTAATAGTTTATCGTTAGAGGATATCTTACAGTTACAGTGTATTGACATGTTCGGTACAGCGTAGATGTCACCTGAAATATGGATGATAAATTTTATCTATGATCAACCACACTCTGAAAAAATTTTCAATTTACAGTTCTTTATGTTTATGCCAACCATGCATAGAAAAAAAATCATATAGTTACACTAACAGCTGCATCTCATTTAAAATCGCATGAGTAACAACAGCATTAGGCAAAGTTATTCGTACAATTATCGTCTGAAATTTTTTGAAAATTCACATTAAATTACAGTTTCCAAATAACTATTAAACATCGAAAAAAGTAAATATAGAGAGGGTAAAAATTATTTTTAAAATGAACCAATAGTTAATATTGACCTCAAAGTATCTAATTTTGTGCACAATCGACATTATCTTACTTGACAGTATTTGAAAAGAATCTAACGGTAAACAGACGGACTTTTTGCTTTACAGACGCGTCAAGACTGCAAGTATATAGCACCGCGCATTCAATTCGTAAAATTATGCCCATGTGTGTCAGAGAAAACGCAATTGAAAGAAAGTATAAACAATGAGAGGCTTTACGGTCTCGATATACGGTATTAACAATCAGTGGCTACAGATTGTTGCAAGTGTATCACTACACCAAGCTTTACCATGCCACTTTTCTTACTACCGATCACTAACTATTTTACTAACTTAATAATAATCTATCATTGGCATGGATCTAGTAGAGGAGGATGTCATTCGTGGCTTTGTCAGGTTCTTGGATTTTCTCCTTGCTTTTTGGCTCGTAAGTTCCAAACGCCACGAGCCCGCAGTTGGCGACGTGCACAATGATGGCCACCACCACCAGCCTGCAAATGAAGTGAACTAAATGATGGCCACCACCACCAGCCTGCAAATGAAGTGAACTAAATGATGGCCACCACCATCAGCCTGCAAATGAAGTGAACTAAATGATGGCCACCACCACCAGCCTGCAAATGAAGTGAACTAAATGATGGCCACCACCACCAGCCTGCAAATGAAGTGAACTAAATGATGGTCATCACCACCAGCCTGCAAATGAAGTGAACTAAATGATGGCCACCACCACCAGCCTGCAAATGGAGTGAACTTAATGCTGTATTTAATAGTGTTCTCATTACCAGGCCACTAGGTACGTTTGCTGATGGTTGAAGTATCTCAAAGGGTTAACCATTTGTTTACTGATAATAACTCTAATTACCAGGCCTTAAAGTATAAAAGGCATTGACGACGGCTAAATAACGAAATCTGGTTACTAAAGTAATAATCCGATGACTAATAAATAAATCCGGTGATTAAACGTCAACCCATTGTCTACCGGCGATAAAATTTGGTATAACCTCTTGAAATGTTGCAAATACTAAGTTTATTTTATCAACAGCGACATCAGAAACTAGTTCACAAATTCAATTTTTCGTTTCATTCGCTCAATAAATTATTCAACTTGAAGAGTGATGCTAATATCGCTTATAAAAATGTCATAATAGTGAATACATCAATCAAATACTAGTACATTTATCATAATAATAACAATAAAATTATTGGTAATTAGGATTAAACAATAATAATAATTGCAACAAACAACATTGAAATTGCACGAATTTTGGGACGCACCAGAAGGAATAGCCGAGAGCCTCGTTGCCTTCTGTGGTCCAGCCGTCCTTGCTCTGCTCGATCAGCACGTTGTGGGATAAACTGGTGTGGTACAGCACGGACCACAGCACCACAGCCACCAGGGTGAACACGGCTGCGGAATGGGTTGAGGTTTGAAGTGAAATTTTGCAAACATTTCCATATGTCAAGCCTCACCTGCCAAAGAGTTCCATATGACAAGCCTCACCTGCCAAGGAGTTCCATATGTCAAGCCTCACCTGCCAAAGATTTCCATTTGACAAGCCTCACCTGCCAAGGAGTTCCACTTGACAAGCCTCACCTGCCAAAGAGTTCCACTTGACAAGCCTCACCTACCAAAGAGTTCCATTTGACAAGCCTCGCCCACCAAGCAGTTCCATATCCCAAGTCTCACCTGCCAAAGATTTCCATTTGACAAGCCTCACCTGCCAAGGAGTTCCATATGTACAAGCCAGGCACACCAGTGATCAGCTCTACAGGAGTGGTCGCCGTGTTGATGATTGCGAAGATTGCGCCTGCAATCGCGAACAACAATCCGACGCACAGGCAGGCGATTGTTCCCACCCACAATCCCTGGTTCATCAGACCGCTCGTCTCTGACACTGCAAAACAAATATAAATGAGATCTCTATCAAATATGAATCAATTTTGATCTCAATTGAAATAGGTTCGCTTTTATTCCAAAGATTTCGCAACTGAAAGGTTACGAGTTATCTGTTTCCTTTGCCGAAGTTTGCTCTAGTAAAGTGATACATGGAATAAATTTATTTTACGAAATGTTTCACTACAAAGAATTTCTGAGAAGTCAATTCACTTCATCAAATGTTTTGCCACAAGTAGCTATAAAAAATCAGCTAACTTCATCCAACGTTTCGCAATCAAGAAACAATTAATGCTATTTTTACTTCAACATACGTTGAACAAAGTAGATTAACTGTGATTAGATGTAATATAATTGCATTAGCTGCTCAAAACTAGGAAGATAACCACATTTCTTAGACTCTGTCACGCTTGAAAATAATTTTTTTTGTGGTGATTTTCTTCCAACGATGTAAATTTGCAATTCACTTCAGCATCCAGCTCACACTAGGCACAGCAAAATTTTCACATAAAACCGTAGTATAACAATACTTTTCATCCACGCTAAATGCTTGATGAATAAAACCATCGATCATAATAGCGTCCAACCAACGAAATAAAATAGCATAAAACGTCAGCGTCCATCTATATTAGATGCTGATATATGTAGGGATATAGGTAATTTAAAGCTGGAATGGAGCGTAAACAAGAAGCACATATACAGCAGCCTATATACCATATTGAATGATGTAATGTTCATTGCGTTATCTTACTTGTTATCGATGTAGGAGACTACTATCGCTCGTATGTAAATTTATGCAACACTTTTTACATGAATCACTTACTAAAAATAAAGAAAAAATATGTTTTTTTATGCACTTTTTAAAATATGTTTACTTTAACAGATTTAACCGTTTCTCCTAAGCCCCGAACGGCACTGTGACAGTAACAAAATTAATATTCTTTACAAGAGATATGATGTTTGATTAAATGTTCGCAATGGAGACCGGTCAGCCCTTAGGATAAAGACGGCAAGTCTATGAGTTTACTTGACAAGTTTATCTTGCCTTGATATTAATAGATAATACATAAAGGGATACAAAGTGGTTATATAATAGACCTTCAAAATATTGCATGTTCAGTTTAGCTGCATTATATATATCAGAACAAATTGTTAACAGGGCGTATTTGTGGTTCTTCACATCAACTTTCCGCTTTTCATCAGCTATACAGAAATTCAGTCAAACTTTTCTGTGTAGAAAGCATGTGAAGAAATTCACTACATATAAAGACCCTACTGTAATATTATTCATATAAAATACAATAAATAATACTACGCGCAAGAAAACTCTGAATATAAATGATCACCAACACGACAATCTTTAGCAGGCCGGCCGCGTGCTGAGGCCTACGCTGCCAAGAATCAAAGTAACACACACAAAAATGAAATCAGCAAAAAGACAGTATAAAGATAACCGATCCAAGAAAGTGAAAACCAGGGCAGAAATTTGGAAAATCGACGTTCATTATTTCAAGCCATTCCTGTTCTGCTTCAACGAATCAAAAATTTGCAGCGGAAAAACGTTGATCTTCAACCCGCTTGATTCTATATAATTCGATAGCTTATCGTTGTAACTGCTCGAAATCGCTGGATCTGAATCTCCGTTCGTAGATTCATCCACGTGATTGCTTCTCGAATTTAAATATAGATTTGCATCGTCAAGATCGGGGTGTTTTTGATCGATGATCGTCATCGAGCTTGAATAATCCGCTTTGTTTTCTTCGGTGCTTCTTGTTTTCTGCGATTGCGATTTTCCCGCCTTGGAGCTGGACACTAAGCAGACCGGGTCGCTGATGGCGCTGATATTGCCAGCCAGGATGAGCCTGAGGTGATCCTGCCGCATGTCCTTAGGGTCCGCGCAGCTGTACATGCACTTGCCTTCGACGCAGACCACTGCCGCATGAACGTTCATTAGTATTTCTGTTATGTCGCAATATAAGTAAACAATGATATGAATTAAGTAATTTTGTTCTTTTGGATTGTTCTCGCCAAATAAGTAAAACCTGATACGGTGCATGAGTCATATTTAATAAAATCTATAACTCTAAACTACCTACAAGTCTTGAAAGGATCTGTCTGTTACATTTTTGCGTTACGGGCATGTAAGGTTGCAGTGACGAATGAACGTAAAGAGGCCTTCACAAACGCCCCATCTCACCATATAAAGTGATTAGGACGTTTCAGGACCAGCTAGTGTATTGAGCATTCAATTATTGGTTGTTACTCAGTACATAATGGAAGCATGGCTCGGTGCAAGACACAACAAATTCATGCGCTTTCAAAAACGTTTAGTGCTTATCTTACTCAACAATATGCAGTGAATTATTCACTGCAGTAATCGTACCGGCAGTAAGAGACTCACTGCAGCAAATCGTAGCTATCAGTAACTCACTGTAGTAATCGTAGCGATCAGTAACTCACTGTAGTAATCGTAGCGAGCAGTAACTCACTGTAGTAATCGTAGCGAGCAGTAACTCACTGTAGTAATCGTAGCGAGCAGCAACTCACTGTAGTAATCGTAGCGAGCAGCAACTCACTGTAGTAATCGTAGCGAGCAGTACCGCTGGCCTCCAGCTGGCTCGCCCCCCGGAACAGACCGCCATGGAAGGTGCCCGTGTAGTCCGCACTAACGGAGATGTTCTGGCTGTAGTAAGCCTCTGCCGTGACCCAGCTGTCCGTTCCCAGCGCCGCCCCCATCAGGGCGCCCCCCAACAGGCACGTCAAGAACGAAGCGTACAGATACGAGCGACGACGACGCTGCATCTTGCGTGCGTAGTCTTCTTCGTCGTCCATGTCCATCGTGAGTGACGTGGAGGTCTCAAGGCGAGGCTGTGCGACGTGTTTTTTCTCTTAGGGATTCAAATCTCAGCGTTTCTGATGCAAGGGACTAGTCAATTATGCGGGATAATTCTTTTCAGTTCAGCAACATTTGATGTGTTTCTGGTGATTACCGAAGAAGAATTGCGCTGGTATCCGACACGCTACTCATGCATCTGAAATTGGGGGTTAAATGAGAATGTTGCCAAGTGTTGATCAGAACGAGGCTTACTTAAAGTGGCTCAGTTTGGACTCATGATTAATTGCATTCAAGATTCGTGATGACGTAATCCTTGTTGCCAAGTGTTGATCAGAACAAGGCTTACCTAAAGTGGCTCAGTTTGGACTCATGATTAATTGCATTCAAGATTCGTGATGACGTAATCCGCGTTAACGGGATTTGTGATGATAAGATTCGAGATATCATGATTTGAACTAAGTTTTACAAATCTAATCAAAGTTTGGACAGCTTTCGGACAACAATTCGGCAAGATAGAGTTCTAGGGCCAAAGTTCCGGCAGAGCTCGGGCCAAGGTTGCACTAATGTCTAACATAGGCTAAAAAACGGTTGGACAAATCTTGAGCAACGGTGCGGGTTTTCAGCTAATAAATAAATGCAAACAATTATAAATAACGATGGAAAAATGAAATCAAATCAATTAACCACCGGTACATGAGGCTCGCTAGCGCCCATACGCTCCACTGCGTCGGAGGAGGCGTTCACAGCACGAACCCGGCGCTCAAGTAGCGGCCTGAGAGTCAGCACAAAAAATTCTGTGTACTAAGTGCAACAAACACAGCGCATGCCGTGCGCTGAATGCAGCAAACACAGCGCATGCCGTGCGCTGAATGCAGCAAACACAGCGCATGCCGTGCGCTGAATGCAGCAAACACAGCGCATGCCGTGCGCTGAATGCAGCAAACACAGCGCATGCCGTGCGCTGAATGCAGCAAACACAGCGCATGCCGTGCGCTGAATGCAGCAAACACAGCGCATGCCGTGCGCTGAATGCAGCAAACACAGCGCATGCCGTGCGCTGAATGCAGCAAACACAGCGCATGCCGTGCGCTGAATGCAGCAAACACAGCGCATGCCGTGCGCTGAATGCAGCAAACACAGCGCATGCCGTGCGCTGAATGCAGCAAACACAGCGCATGCCGTGCGCTGAATGCAGCAAACACAGCGCATGCCGTGCGCTGAGTGCAGCAAACACAGCGCATGCCGTGCGCTGAATGCAGCAAACACAGCGCATGCCGTGCGCTGAATGCAGCAAACACAGCGCATGCCGTGCGCTGAATGCAGCAAACACTGCGCATGCCGTGCGCTGAATGCAGCAAACACAGCGCATGCCATGCACTGAATGCAGCAAGCACTACGTACGTGACCAGTCAAGCCACTACCTCGCACCTAAAACCTATGGTTGTGCAGGTAGCCAAGTCGCTATACGCGTCAAAATGCAGGAAATTCTATTGCGTATTGGTAAACCAGGCATGGCTGTTGTTGGTTTGTACTTCAATCTTAAGTACATACCGCGGGCAGAAGTGTCAAAAATCATCAAAAAATCAAACTTACAAAGTAACAGATCTAATAGAACCAAGCAGATTCGACTGCATGAATTCAGATAAAAACGTATTGTCGAAGAGAATTTTATAACCTTCATTATGTACAATCTATAATGTTCATTATTTATAACTGGGTATGTTCACAAACCATAAAGTTCATTATTCTGTACTCATTTTGTTCATAACCAATTTCTAGTGTACATGATTCATGTTATTCCGGTATGAATAACATTATTAGAAAAAGATACGCACTTTCAGGCCTTCTCTGTCTGAACGAGATGACATCAAAACGTACTAAGACTTTGAAAACATCAGCATTACCATTTGTGCCGGACCTAGATGAAGCTCTAGGAGGCGACTAAACGATGAAGCTCTAGGAAACGAATAGACGATAAAGCTTTAGGAGACGACTAGACGATGAAGCTCTAGCTAGGAAATGACTAGACGACAAAGCTCTAGGAGACGACTAAACGATGCAACTCTGGATGGCGACAAAACGAGGAAGCTCTACTAGATGACTGGACGATGATGCTCTAGGAGACGATTAGCCGATGAAGCTCTAGGACGATTCCAAAACCTACATAAATATAATAGATTAGCTAGCTAGATGAATAGGGCATTGTGGGGTCAATTGAGGATTGATTTTTTCATTTGAGGCATAGGCTAAACCAAATATTTACACGAGCATATTTAAATATTGAGCACTAGGTACAGAACACGCTGAACAGCTGACACCTGCATGAAACACTAGGTACAGGAAACGCTGAACAGCTGACACCTGCATGAAACACTAGGTACAGGAAACGCTGAACAGCTGACACCTGCATGAAACAATAGGTACAGAACACAAAGAACAGCTGACACCTGCATGAAACACTAGGTACAGAACACACTGAATAGCTGACACCTGCATGAAACAATAGGTACAGAACACTAGGAACAGCTGACACCTGCATGAAACACTAGGTACAGAACACTAAGAATAATTGACATATGCTAGGAACGTAACAGAACACAAAGAACAGTTTATATACTCTTTACAAAACTGTTCTTCAAGAATTAGCTCGGCAGCGGGCGGCTGTAAGGTCTCTGTTGCACTGGCCAGTTCTGTGAAGATAGCGACCAACATGTCATCTTATCTCTACATTATCAGGAGTTATCAAGTGTACTTATAAATGCAGGATGTATGGTCTTAGTGCCTCCGTACGTCACTGCCCACATCATTGCATTTAATTACTGTATAGTGTATAGGTGTAATGTTTATGGTGTTCTGTGGTCACTGCCTTGTAATTTACTTAGAACTTAGCATTAAATATCACTCAACAACATTACATTTGAAAAGAGATCAAATGTTTGCGGCTTGCCCGCTCTCAGTTATCAAACAATATAATTTAGAATTAATTATTTAACGCGCACAAAATATAATTGTTATTTTATATATAGGTATGTAAACTATATATGTATATATGTACTTGAAATGAGGGTATATATGAAATTGACTTAAGTTATGGCAGTTAAACTAACTATATATAGATATCTTTGAGTTGCTACCAATTGACTGGGCGCAGCTACTGCTATAACGAGCCAGATTAAATATCTCTATTTACAAACTCCTTAGGATTTGCTAATTAAACCAAGAACTAATTAATTGTGTCGACTCTCGTGTTTAATAACCATATTAGCTTTATCGACTTAATGAGGCTCGTAATTTATAACTTATTAGCTGCATCGATTTAATGAGGCTCGTAATTTATAACTTATTAGCCTTATCGACCTAATGAGACTCGTATTTAATAACTTATTAGCTGCCTCTACTTAATGTGGCTCGTACTTTATAACTAATTAGCTTCATCGACTGATGAGACTCGTACATTTTAACTTATTAGCTGCATCGACTTAATGAGACTCGTACTTTATAACGTATTATCTGCATTGACTTAATGAGACTCGTACTTTATAACATATTATCTGCATTGACTTAATGAGACTCGTACTCTATACCTTATTAGCTGTATCTACTTAATGAGACTAGCACTCTATAAGCTGAGCGTTACAACTTTCCCCAGGCCCGCAGTCTCTCTTACCTACACTGAGCTTCTGCCGCAGTTTATTTGCGCTCTCTGATTTCTTGTTTTTATTCTGCGTTAGTTTCTCCTAGTCTTTTTTTATTGTATCTCTGCCTGGTGCGAAATTTCTTCCTGCGCGTTTGTTCAGACGCTGAGCCATTAGTTACGGCTGGATTATTTCTTTTCATCAGATTTCGAGTTTAAATAATACTGAGTGACAGGAGAGCAATTCATCGGTTAGCTAGCGAGTGTATATGGAACATTAATTAGTTTTAGATGGCAGAATTTGTTGATTTATACGCGTGCGATTAATGACCAGAGAATTCGTTGAATATTGGAACTTGAATTATGTACTTCAAATCAATGAAGCAATCTTTATTTTCTAGGCTCATTCTCAAATATTTTATGATGCTTTTAAATGCGTTCATGGCTCAATGTATGTCGTATTTATAGTGCTTAAAACAAATACGATTAATGAGTGCAGGCAGTATTGTAACTAGCGATGACATTGCTTCTCTACAGTAACATTGCTCCTCTTTAGTAACTCTTGAGTATTGAAACACGGTAATATCGCTTACCTACAATACTGAAACATGGTAAAATTGCTCCTCTATGAACAAAAAAAAAAGAACATTACTGCTTGTCTGCTGTTGTCAAGACGTTAAAATAATGTTAATCACACCCTAAAGAACACCATATTTGAAGATCGCCTGCGTTTAAAAAGATGTCATTCATTACTAACAAACATTTTAGAACAAACTGGTTCGATTCGTGAGTAAATTCAGGGAGCGAGATGAATAACATCAGGGAGCGAGATGAATTCCAGAATAGCGGTTCATACCAGCTCGGGAACCAACCAAATAGCATCGTCTTAATTCGGCCTTAATCAAATATGTTGCTATCCAGATAAGAATAACATTACACGACGCTACGTCTAATGAATAACACACATACTAGTTTCTAAAGATCGTCACAAGGCGAACACTAGAATACCGCATTAATTCGTATATGGTGAGTAAACACTATACATGAATATAGTATACTCCATTTGTTTGATTAAAGATGATATGGAAGAACTCTAATGAATTCTTACCAGAAAAATTATACATGCATCAGGCTACATAACACTAACAGAAACTCTAGTCATTTGATAACCTTAGTATTTTCAATCAAATATAATCATAATTATCAATATAAAATGTTCTAATAATTTGGTGTTATTCTGGAAATTATCATAGCAAAGTGCGCAGTCATAAACTAAAGTCGTTATACATAATAAAAATCTACTGAAATAATGAAGATTGACTATAAAGATAGACTGAACTCACCTTGAAAATGCGTTAATCTCTCCCCGAATCCAACGTTGAGTTCCAAGTCCCCTTGGAAAAGTCCAAAGTTGATCGATCCCGTAGAGTTTGGCCTGAAAACTTCTTCCTTTGTACGTGAACTTTCTTCTTGTGCGCTCGAACTTTGAAGTTCTGTTTCACTTTGTTGTCTCGTGTCTGAGCTTTGTTCTTGTGACTTAGAACCTTGTATTTGTGTGTTATTAAAGGCAGTGTTTGTTCTTGTTATCTGGCTGACAGATCCAGGTATCGGTCTCAGCCGCTGACGGCAGCTGGCGACGAACCAGTGACGCGTACCCAGCGCAGCGCCCACGAGCGCCAGACACACGCAGCAGCCCACGAATGACAGCAAGATCAGGCTACGCTTGAACACGTTCATGGTGACTGTGGTGCAGTGGTGGTGCAGTGTGTGGTGGTGCAGTGGTGGTGCAGTGGTGGTGCAGTGATGGTGCAGTGGTGGTGCAGTGGTGGTGCAGTGATGATGCTGGTGTGGTTGTGAGGATTTCTGCTGTTGGTGCAGTGATGATGTTGCAGTGATAGTGGTGGTATAATTGTGATGATGTCTGCTGGTGGTGCAGTGATGATGATGGAGTTATGATGATGTCAGCAGGTGGTACAGTGATGATAGTAGGGTTGTTGTGATGATGTCTGCTGGTGGTGCAGTGATGATAGTAGAGCAATTGTGATGGTAAGAGGTTGTTGTAGTAGAGTGATAATGTGCTGGCGGTGAAGCAATGATACCGGAACAGTGATTATGGTGGGCAGCGTTTATGGTAGAGTGATAATTTTTGGTCAAGTTGTGACACTGTTTATTGATGGTGAAATGAAAATGGTTGATGATCGCTGGGTGGTGATAACGCTGGCGCAGTGACGATCATAGATAATAGTGTTTTTTGTTGCCCTCGGTGGATGATACGCTGAGAGTAATTTTAAGTTAATAATGAATGATTTTAGGCGAGCAAGAAGAGACTATAAGCAGGCACTTCATGTGCTGGGTTCACAAATTATTCAATTATGTATGCTAACAAATGTTATAGCTCATTTATCAAGCTGTGTGTTCAAAATACGTCCTAAACTTGATCGAGTTTTTGGCAGCCTGACGAGTTTAACTTTGAGTTGAAAATGATCAAAAGCAAGCAGAATAAATGTACTTAGAAATAACATAAAAAGCAGGAGTCGATGTCGATGGAGGGCAGAGTTGAACTATGAAGTGAAGCACAACGTTGAGTGAGTTTGAATGGAGTTGAACAGCCCTCAACTTGACTTGAATATTGTTGAGGATTGAAGAGCAACAATCACTGCGGATTGCTGATATCAACAAGTTGAATGATGCCTGCAGTTACAGCGTCACATAAGCAGGAACATTATAACCTACATTACAACTATATAACTTTCCTGTACACTGTTACTGTAAGTCGTACACGCTTATAAATGTACATTCAAATTAAGTTTTATGCCTCAATTGACAATGTTTTATCCCACTGCCAGAGTGAACAAAACTGAATGTGTTAGAGCGCTTCAGTCAAATCAAAAGCGGAATTATGTCTATGAAAATAATAGTGCATCAACAATATGAGTCACGAATTAGATAGATATAATGATATTACTACTCAATGAATTACGGCAGGAGACTCATAACAAAGATAGTAAAGTTGTATTTATCTAATTTTTATCATGACAGCTCAAACATATTTAAATTGTATAAATTTAGTAAAAATTAAAATAAATTATTGTCAGTTACGACGGATTATCACAGTCCACCGATGATCAGAGGTAACATCGCACGAGAGAAATAACAAAAAAATATTTCAATGAATTTAGACTGTGTCAAAGAAATAAAAAATCCTCCGTTTTAAATAATTCGATTTTTTTCGCTTCATGTTTCGATTATTTATTTCGATTATTTATTTTTTAAATTACAAGGATGAACGCGCAATACGGTCACCAGAAGCTTTGCTTTGAATCGTTTAATCTTATCATAATATAACTTTAATTTTGTACATAAATTTGATTATTATACATGGAAGTAAAATTTACCTCTGTTACTGATTATTACTTTAAAACTTTACACAATTTTTACGATATTGAGAACGTGATTTAATTGAAATATTTTCTTAAATGTTCGAAAAATGTCTTTAAAGTTTTCCGAAAGTTCAGCATGTAACATATCGTTTAAAATTCAATGCAGACTTTCTAATGAGGTTAAAGTCACGAGTGCAGGTATGGAGGAGGCGTCGAGGACAACCTCTTGTTAACCTCGTCACATCCTAACAGAATTTGTTCGTATGCGTCCGCACGAAAACGCCGAACACTCTTCCTAAATTTCAACTTCGTTTGAAAAAGCTTTCATAGCAATCATTAACCAGGATATAATGAGATTTTTCAGAAATAGAAAACGTGATATACAACCAATATATTTTTAATTTAGAGTTGCGGAAGAGACCGAAGTTGTGTTGTGAGAGCACAAGGCACTTACATGCGATCCTCACGACATTCAAAGTTTCACTGACGGAATACCTGAGCAAGCGTCCAACTCTGACAAGTTTTAAAGCTTAGCTTATAAATCTAACGATGAATAAAATATTTCACCTCTGCAGTAAACTTTTCTTAGTATTTTTGAACGAGAACAATAGAAATCCAAGACGAGTTATTGCTCCAGAACTTTGACGTAAATTATTACTTGGTTATAATGTGTTTGTGAATGAGATGCTCCGTGACCCAGTGAGTTGAACGCACCTGACGATGTTGTGACGCAGGATTGCCAACAGGACTCACCTGCCGCGGTTTGCGAAGATCACTCATGTTTTTCAGTGAAAATATAGTTTAAAAATAGCATGAGCTATTTTAAACAGATAAACACTTTCCCTCTTCATTAAAGACTTGACCATTAACTTCAGTCCTGTCCTACACCGTAGTAGAGAAATATTCAATCCTGAAACAATCAAATTTTTCGACAATATAGCATGAATTGGACTTGATTTAATTATTTTAGTTTTGAATTTAGTGTTGCAGTTTCTTACGCGAAAATTCATATAAACACTTCCCGGCGTGTTCAAAATAACGTTGCACACTAATTCCTTACAGTCCTATCCACCTTTAGCATGATTTTATTTAATGAAACATGATTTCCAAACATTGTCTGTCAGAATAGTAATAAATTTATTTGAATAAACTATTCTATTGACAGAGATTCCATTAGTCGCATAATATAACATCCGAATCTAATATTAAATGTATTTTGATAAAGAAAGGTTCGTACTGGGACTTAATACTTCCTGTAATACTCATTTGGCGCATTTTTGTCTGTCTATACATAAAGTGCTCCGAGAGAATGATACTAAACAATAAAATTAAATTAAATAAATGACCATCGTGGTTGGTTGCGCACTCGGTCCTCTAAAGTCTAACTGATCAGATTTGTTAACTACAACGGCGGGCAGTACCGATCAATCGCATTGGCACCGATACGACCATGAAAGTGTCGCTTTAGGCTTTAGTAGGAGTTACTTAAAGTTGGTCGACATTCTCCGTAACTTCCAAATTTCTCTTGAAAAAAAAAACAGAGAATGAAATTTATCGAAAGCATATTCATGTGAAAATATGCACTAAATCAATATATAGCAATAAAAAGAAGAAACAGGTAGGAACATTATTTTAAATTTACGATGGTAAGCCGAGTTATTATTATTAACACGTTTTTCTTAACTTAGCTTCGCGTTTGTTTGTTTGTTCTTAACATTGACAACGAAAATTAGCCCACTTCTGATTGCTCTAGAGATCTAAAATTCGGCATGCAGGCAATTTTCGCCTAACAATTTCAGATACAATTATAAAAATTAGCAATTAGAGACCTAAATTAGCTTAATCGAGTAAAGTATATTAAATTTTTGTCCTTTTCAAATCTCGGTGACCACGCAACGTTTCCAAACTCTAGATTCGGGCGCACGACAGCAACAAACAACTGCTTCATTGCTTCTGCATCTAGATTTCGTATATGAGCGTCTGATTAGTCCAAGAAGTTTGTTGGATGTTTTAGCTTGCGTTTCAACATGCTTCGAAAATTTCAGCTCCTTGTCGACACAAACTCTGAGATTTTTTTCCACACTAGACTTTTCAATCATTACTCTCTCGATAATCATTATTTGTGCTATTTTAAATGTATTTTTAAAGTGTTTAAAAGCGTAGCTCAATGTCATAAAATTCAGGGATATGTTGTTCATCTTATAGTTTGAACAGTATTAATTAATTATTTTAATTTATATTGATGTATTCCTGGTATTTCGTGAACATATTTTACTCCGGAGTCCGGAGAAATAGAGATAGCTGAGGCCTGAAGTACAAGTTGCAGATACGCATGAACTTCCCGGCTCTTCGGTTACTCTACGGTCTACCTCTAGGTCTAGTCTCTAGATACTTGCTGGTGGTTTGTCAATGTTGATTTGACCTTGGTAGCTGTGAGAATGAGTGTCCGGAATAAAATTCGAGAGGCGACTTCATAATACATTTAAAATAGTTACTTTGTTGGCTTACCTTCTGCTTGATCATGAAATACCTAGCCGCAGCACTGGCTAAATTCCGGCTTACTATCTCGCACACATCGCTGCAGCCTGCAGGGCTAGCCTCCGGCGACCGGCTGCACTTAGTTCTGGAAAATCGTGACGCCGATCGTCGAACAGACGTGGCTGGTGGCATACTGACAGTCATGCTGATTGCTGAAGCTGTCAAAGCTGAAAGCTGTGATCTGTAAATAGCTAACTATCACCTTTGGTGTATAGTTTACTATTACTATAGCCTATACTAGGCCCTATACTATAGTATACACTATACAGTGCTATACACCAGGTTTACACCTATAGTGATAGGTGTATACTTACTAGTTAGTAGTTACTATACTATAGCGGAGCCTATAGTACTATACACCTTTGGAGTTGCAGTTAGGATATAATTATTCAATGATATAATTATTCCTTAATGGATTCCTAATATATTCACAGACGTATTTAAAAGTCTCAAACCATAATATTCTTCCTATAAAAACAGTTATTCACTATTTGGTAGAGCCATGTCAATCAGGCATGGCCGCATGGGTAGCTGGCTAGCTGCTCTGTACTGTAAGTCTGTGCCCAATTGAAAATTTTACCTGCAAGGCTGCAAGACAGACATACTCAAACTCAATTTTACCCCTAGGCCCTAACCCTAAGTGAAGAGAGAAAATGAGGCTTATTAGCTGAAGGCCTAAATTGCCTAATGTATGGGGCTAAACCGCGCTAAAGCTGTGCAGCCTGTGCCCAAGTTATCAGCCCAAAACCCCAAAATATTAAAAAAATTATGCATGAAGATGAAGATAAAAAAGATTGAAGCTCACTTAGGACTTAGCCAGGTTAGCCCAGGTCCCTGAGGCCCAGGATGCACCGATGCAGAAAATGGGTAAATATCTGAATTCTGAAGATTTATGATGACAGATCAGTGGCAAAATTTACACAACCCCCTTCAGATTTCAGAAAGATCTTGCCAATTCATTTGGATTGAAATTATTGCTTTTTAGATAGTCACAAATCTTTGCCACATTGTGACGTAACTGACGTAAGCCTGCAATATTTTAGAAAAAAAATAGGTCTTCCCAACTACCTCCTCCTCTTGTTCTGCAGTCTAGTGACAAGAACATGAGTTTTGGGAAATTGGAGAACTCTGTCATAATTGGAGTGTCAAGGTCACTACACCTTCCACCACAAATTCTATTTATTCTACTCAACCACTGAAGGCTGCTCACTGCTGCAGGCCGGCTGCGTGCTGCCAGCTGCGGCTGGTTGACGCTCCATGGCTGATTGGTTGAAGTTTCAAAGCAGTCTGTCCAATGAGATGGCTAGCATCAACTTAGGCAAGTCATAAGAAGAATAGCAATCCAAGCTTTCTTAAATGCCTTCATATTATCCAAACCAAAAAATAAGCAATGGATTTCCTATGGACTTAATTCAAAAGAAATGGTCATGAACTGTATTAATTGCAGTAATAAAAAATAACCATTATAACTTATTAGCATTGTTAGTATCACTCTGCTCATATGTACATGTGAAATCAATAATAGGAGATCCAAAAAAGCAATTAGTAGGTATTTAACAGAAACTCCATAAGAGTGCCTTTGGCAACCATGCAATATGCGCTACAAACTATCTGCGGCTGGCAGCGAGCACTCCGATCCCAATGCACAATGCTTTGTAGAAGCATTAATTTAATTCTTTGTACAAATTTATTGAATCAATATAAAATTTTTAACAACTGAATTATATACTATGAAGAGGTAATACCCAATCTATGTATACTATTTAACGATGCCAATTTTTAGCGCATTTGCTCATTTATGAAAAAAATGTACTATTGTGCTTGCCATGTCTGTAATATAACTCACTTAAACTCAGTACTCACTGCAGTTAGTGACAGAGAGCTCATTTTCTTGTTGACGAAAACATGAAGTCACGGATGGACAGACAGACAGACAAAGTGTAATATTAGAGAGTGCATTTTCTCGTTGATGAAAACATAAGTCACGGACGGACAGACAGATGGATGGCAAAAGTCTAATATTAGAGAGGTAATTTTCTCGTCAACAAAAACATGAAGTCACGGATGGACAGACGAAGTCTAATATTAGAGAGCGCATTTTCTCATCAATGAAAACATGAAGTCATGGATGGACGGACGGACAGACAGATAAACAAAGTCTAATATTAGTCTATTAGAGAGCGCAGTTTATTGTCAACAAAAACATGATTTCACAGACGGACAGACAGACAGACAAAGTCTAATATTAGAGAGCACATTTTCTTGTCGATGAAAACATAAAGTGACGGATGGACAGAAAGACAGATATGACGAGCATATAGTGTATTTTTTCATAAATGAGAAAATGCACTAAAAAGTCTGACATTTAATGTTGGACATTACAATTCAATGTATCCTCAGACATCACGGCTCAGCAAGTTTAATTTTGAATTTCTATAATGAAATTTATTCATATGATGCATACCGGTATCTGAAAGCTATACTACTGGCGTATGTTTAAATATAAATACCTCTGTTAAAATTCTGCTTCATTTCAAGTCTTATGATTAATTTATCATAAAATATTTAACTACTGTACCGTATTTACTTTGATATACGAAATATTTATTGTAAAGGGTACAGTATTTGCATATTCATTCATACCCACAGGGAAGAGAAACCTGGCTTTTCTGCACTGAATAGGAGCTATGAGTGCTTAGGTTGCTTAAAAAATATGCTTATTTATTTTACTGAAAAACTAATTAATGTAAGCTTCTCTAATAATTCCTACCACAGTGTATTGATAATAGCTACTTATTCCAAAATTCAAAAAAAAATCTGTTTGCTATCAAAGGAATTACAAGTGTCTTGGTTGATCAAAATTCGCTTTAAATGAAAAGTAAGTCATGTTAAAATCTGCGGGAGCGTATTGATAATAAAAACTCCCATTCCAAAATTATATCAAATCTGTTCGGTATTGAAGGACTTAGGATCTCTATTCTCAAACAATTTTACAACTGGTCTCCAAATTTTATGATACTGATACTCAGATTCAATGACCAACCAGTCATCACAGAAAATTAAAAAATGAACAATATTGATCCTGATTCCTGAATTTCATTTATGAATAGCATTTCTGAATATCATTCCTGATTCCTGAAAATAATTCCTGAGTTTTTGGTGCTTCAAGCACTCTGCATGCTTCAAGCGTTTTAAAATAAAGCTTTATTTCAAGTGTTCTGAATTACCCTGTTCTCAGTGGTAATTTGGGACACTTTTCTTTTAAATCTGGCACCTTACAAATAAAAAATGAAATTTTTTTAGAGGTACCATATATACTTGTTTATGAAATGTTTCATGGTAAGAAGCTAGTAACAGAAAACATTCAAAATTATCCTTTATTACCCTATTTGATAGTATACCCATTTAGGCAACAAGATTTAGTGGGGATAATTTTTTTTTAATTTGAGTGTGTCATTGTTGTTCTGCTCATGTTGTAAATATATCATTTGTTTATTTCAAGTATCATTTTCTGAATACAGTTATTATTTCTAACAATAGGTAGATATTAATAAGCATGTGCTGGTAATTCTATTGCTTCATTACTTCTTCATGTTCCCACTATATGTTTGAAATTAAATGAATAGAAATAATTTAAGACTATGCTTGCAATGAAAATATTCTGTTCAATTTTCAATTGTTCATCATCTAAAACTACCTATGGGATCTATGGAGACAAATTTTGTTAATAGATAGTGTGTCTGATTTAAAATGATGAATAGGTATATGTTATCAGTCTTATTGATGGGAAAATATATAAACTTGAAAGTGTACAGAGAAATTTTTAAAGAACTGTAGTTCACAGGCTCACTTGGTCTCCAGTTTATGAATTCTATTTATAGATTAATATTTAGGGCATTTGATTCTTACAAACTTGGTTGCGTTCTTCAGTTGATAAACAGCTTTTAATTCTGATGAGCTGGTCCATGATTCACATTCTTGATGATTCTTGATTCTTTTCAGATAAAAATGTTACCTGAGAGTCAAATTTTATTATGGATCTATTCATTTATTGCCTGGTGGGCCCTATACTTTGCATGTCTTACAACTATAAAAAAAGTTTTTCAAAACTCTACCATATTATCTTGGGTTGACAAGCATCAAATATCTGAAGGATGTGTGTCATCCGTCCAAGGATTCTTCTGTGGTGGTGCAGGCATCTTCATCGTTCTAGCCACTCGACATGATGTTGTCTCTGCAAAACACTGGTTTTCTGTTCCTTATTCAACCATTGGCTCTGCTTATTTCATTTATGATTTCATTGCCATGTACATCTCCCACCGACTTCATGACGATGCCAAGGGTTTGTCCTGGGGAGACGACTTCAAGCTCTACTTGAAACGCCATCTCATGATGGTTGTTCATCACTTCATCCTGATATTTTTCCTGTTCCCTGCTCTAATCTACTACTCTGATATGGGAGACTTCTTCACTGGCTGCTTCTACCTGACCGAAATATCTACTCCTTTTGTGAACATGCGGATAATCCTCAGCAAGTTTGGTTTGAAGTCCTCAAAGCTGTACATCACAAATGGTGTTCTTATGACCATTGTATTTGCCATGTGTCGTGTAGTGATGTTCCCGTACATGTATCTGACATATCTGCAACAGCAGAGCAAAGGAATGTCCTACTTGGTTTCTCTTGCCAGGTGAGAAGTTTTAAGATTTTAGTTCATGTTGTTAGTCACAGTTTATTCTTGAACACTAAACACAATTTTGATGTGGGCAACCCTTGTTATGAAATGTCATGTCTTGCTCCAATACCTTGGTAAAAGATGTTTTATTATTTTGATATATGTTTTTATACATTTCAAGTGTCCCAGGATTCAAGAAATTGATTTGTATTAATGTATGTGCAGGGTGCCATGGCATTGCCATTTAGGCAGCTCACTGGTGCTGGCTCCTCAGCTCTACTGGCTCTTCCTGATGCTGCGTGGCGTGTTTGCTGTCTTCTTCCTCCAGCCTCACTATGTGGCAAAATATGACTAAATTTACTCTGCGTAAATATGACTCTGCGCTTCAGTCATACTGCAGGATGTTGCTGCAAATGATTCATTTATCCAATGTGCAAGTCATCATTCTAATATTGAATGCATCCTAGGTACCAGTATATCTAGCCTGATTCATTGTCATGAGCTATAAATCTTGCCTCAAGCTCTATGAAATGAAAATGTTTTGAATTATTCAACCGTCATTCTTGCCTCTTTCCTACTATTGGGCTTCAATACTTCCATGCTTTTCATAAGTCTTGAATCCTGCCTGCCTCCAATTCAACTGTATTTCATATTTTCAGTGGTGTTCCTGTGGCAGAAGCATTGATTTAGACTTTTCTATACCCGAGTGCTATTGTGTCTTTGAATCATTGGCATTGCAGCATGAAATTTAGCATTAAAAATTAAAAATATGAACTGATGAGTGATAGCTGCAGCCATGAATATTGAGCTGTTTTTCCTGTGTACTTCTTATGCATTTTATGGTGGCACTAGTCGTCTCTGCCATTGTTCTCTGCCTTCAAACTTTCTTCTTATTTTAAAGTTTTTCAATGCCATTGAGCTTATGGTTCATAATTTTTCAAAAGTGTATGTAGGTACTCACCTGCAGAGAATATCCTGAAGACCAACTTTGTTCTAATTTGTTATTTATTTCATTAGAAACAATTATTGGTATGAGACCATTTCCAATCCTTGTTATTTATTTCATTAGAAACAATTATTGGTATGATATCATTTCCAATCCTTGTTATTTTAAGGTACAATATTATTTGAATGATCAAAATACAAAATGTTGTTCAGAATTTGATCTTGTAGTAAACTAAGTTTTTTATATATGATGGATGCATTTAAGAGATCTATTAAATCAATGTACAACATATGCAGCATGCCAAATAATGCATGTATTGTGTCAAATTAGCTGGTACTAAAATCTTGCACATTTTTAAATACTGTAGCTGACAGGTTCTAAGGACAATATGAGTTGCCAATCTAATCATGCCAAGCATGACACTTATTCTTCTCAATTAAATCCAACATCATCTGAACGAAATCCCATGTTAGCGTACCCATATAAAATTTCACACGCTGCAGGATTTGCTGTGAATTTGAACATTGTGACTTCAAGGCAGTAAATTTTAGAATGATTTTGTAAATGTTTACTATACCGGTTTGTTATAAATGTAAACATCATTTACAATATGTAGCACCCTTTTCAACCTGTACATCATTTAATGTGAGCACAACTTACAATAGGTATGTTAATGGGAGCTAAGTGAGCATGAGCAAAGCTGCTCATGAGGGGTTATGGCTGGAGTTTGGTGCTACCCTCAGTTTACCCTCACAATCCTGTAAGCTTATGACCTCAGGTGGTAAAACCAAGACACAGATCTAGCACAGTATTTCTTAACAATCTATCCTGTGGTATGATCCCATCAATTATAATTACTTGTTCTGAATATTTGTAACAATTTTCTCGTTTTCTCATTACAATAGTTTGTGCGATTGTAGATAAATTTTTGATTAAGATCAAATTTTCCCCAACGATAATCATAAGCATGGCATTGAGCAGAATAATCTGTTAATTATCAATTAACAATTGGTACCTAATGAGAGGAGCTACTTACATACATTAAGTAGTAGCAGCCAACAAATTGCCGCAATCTTTGGTTTGGTTGTTTTCTCATAAATTATTTTACTATGGAGTCTTATTTTTATTTGGAATATTTCATGCAGTCGTGTTGTACCGTTGTATGAGAATTTTTTTTTTTTAGAGAGCGAAATCTTGCTTATGCTTTTCGATTTTTTCTGTTATAGTTAGTGTGTATGTGCTGGTTTTCTCCCACTGAGCAGAAGACCTCTGGATGTATTCAAATTTTTGTTTACAGAATATCCACATTTTTTTATAGAACAACATAATGTACAAAATTTGAGTAGTTTACGGGAAGCGTAATCATTTCTGGTATATAAACTTGAATCAGGAATGATCTGGCAAGGTTTTTTGGATTAATGTGTTGTTATCTCAAAAATTTTTTGTCAGAAGTAAACACAAGTGCGCTGTAGAAGTGAAGAGCATTGTGGAAGTGAAGTACGCTTAATTCAGCGCTTCATGCGAATATGTTATCTCCAAATTTTTTGTCAGAAGTAAACACAAGTGCGCTGTAGAAGTGAAGAGCGTCGTGGAAGTGAAGTACGCTTAATTCAGCGCTTCATGCGAGCTTATATCATCTAAGACACGATCCCTGAGCCTGGTATTCAATTCAGGGTCTTGCCCAATAGACATTAAAGTCCAACATTAAAATAACGTTCATTAATCGGTAATTTAGTCAACAAGTAAGCAAAGTTGTATCAACGTCGCTTGTCTGAAGCATCATTTTATAGACAAACACTGCTCCTTCTTTTCGCACAATCAATCAACGACAAAAAATTTCATTCCTTTTTCTGTATGATTGTACCTACTGAATTTTCCCTGCATTCATTTTCTGTAGTGTAAATTATGGTGTATGGTGCTGTGTTGTCTGACAGTTCTTTAGAGTCATTGACCAGCCTTAGTCTTGAGGTAGTAATTCTGGGCTGCCAAGTGGGTGCTGCATGCAGCTGCTGCTAATGAGTTCTGAGCTGCCTAGTGGGTGCTGCTAATGAGTTCTGAGCTGCCAAGTGGCTGCTGCATGCAGCTGCTGCTAATGAGTTCTGAGCTGCCAAGTGGGTGCTGCATGCAGATGCTGCTAATGAGTTCTGAGCTGCCTCGTGGGTGCTGCATCAGCTGCTGCTAATGAGTTCTGAGCTGCCTAGTGGGTGCTGCATGCAGCTGCTGCTAATGAGTTCTGAGCTGCCTAGTGTGTGCTGCATGCAGCTGCTGCTAATGAGTTCTGAGCTGCCTAGTGTGTGCTGCATGCCGCTGCTGCTAATGAGTTCTGAGCTGCCTAGTGTGTGCTGCATGCCGCTGCTGCTAATGAGTTCTGAGCTGCCTAGTGTGTGCTGCATGCAGATGCTGCTAATGACTTCTGGCCGATATATTGTCTACATAATCTCTGTGCGCTCGTATTCTCTGATCGACTTCTTCCAGTTAATATTGTCAGTTATGTCAGTTATGCCCCATAACTTTGCTAGCACCTGTAACCCTAACATCAGATGTATCTCTAGGTATTGTAGTGCCCGGATTCTAGGGGAAATATCTATATTTTTGATAAAATAAAGCTTCATTTAGAACTATTCCCGCATCTAATGCCAAATTCATTGAATCGTTATAAATTTGTCATACTTAATCAGGACTGAAGAACTTTGTACATGGATCTTGGAACATTTTAAATATTTTCTACGTTTTCTACTGCACTCTTTCACATCGCTAGAACTAAAGTCACAAATAGAACGAATGGCAACTTTTGTAAGTAGTGAACTTTGAGGTTCCCTAGTAGCTTAATTTACAACATGAATGAATATCTTCCTATTTTAATGCTGATTTAAATTTTGGTAAAGGAAATGTCACGTATTTTTGTGAGTAGATTTAGATTGATATTTTTAAAGTAAATGAATTAGTGGCATCTAATCCTACCAGCAACAGGAAGTAGAGCATCGAACTTGATAAAGTTAGTCATTTTTATACCGAGTACTTTGGGCCTTCTAGTAGAAAAATTCTATAGCCTTCTACCATTAGCAAAGTCTGTGACATATATACTGAATTTTTAACGTTTGATGAGTCTCATTTAAATAGTCACGTTTAAATTTTTGCGTTTAGATAACTTCGCGAAGCACTTTCTTCAAACGACTCTCATATACATTCTTTTAGCTTGTAATAGAGGAAGCTCATCGAAACGACCTTATTAGATGAACGCACCTCCACGATAACGTCTTTATTAACAAACGCTCACGAGGATGTTCTGAACATACGAACTTACCGGGACTGTTTGTGAGGAGTGAACGCCTTCTAAAACGTTTGAGTTATGTACGTTAATAAAAACGTTCTTGTGACGAGCTTCCAATGCCACCTGAGAGTTCGATAAAGCGAAGGCACAAACGTTAGGTTTCAGTATGATTAGGAAACGTTCTTTTGTATTCAATAAAACGTTTATACGAACATTTATGGCAACGAAGTTTTGATCGTGTCGCTACAGTCTCTTCACTCTTAGCTATCATGCTTAGAGTTGTACAGGCAGGCAGCAAGTGAAGAGTGATCCGAGTTTGTTGTGCATTTTGAAGGACTATTGTTGGGAGCTACATGTACTTAAATATTGGCTACTTTATCTTTCATACTTGAATTTAGGTAGCGAGAAGGTAGTACGGTTAATGTTGCTGAGCCTGAATAGCTTTATGTCTGTCATTTGATGCACACAACGCGACAATAGCACTTGCCTGTAATCTGAATAATAAGCAGTTACTTGTATATGATTGCGGGATGATGGGTAACTTACATATGATGGGCAGAGGGTTGTCTTTCTTAGTATAATCTGAACAGGGAGCTGTATTCTCACCAATGATAGACAACATAAACGATAAGGTTTAATATGGATAAAATTACACATAAAAAAGACAAAACGCAGTTACTCGTGACGGCGGGAACTTGCGCATGATTATTTTGCTGGCGCGTCTTGCTACACTAGCCTTGAACCGTCGCTCGATTCCCGGGTGAGTTTCTTGTAATTTCTATTTTGTAATTTACACAGCATTGAAATATATAATGATGTCCCATTGTATTGCTTAACTTCTAATTCTTCATGTCAAACTGAGCTGTCAAAGTAACATCGAACTAACGGGCGCTCACGTGGTGTATTTCTTTCCCATTCCTCGTTATGAATTTTCGAAAGAATCCTACTTGGCTGATTCAACATTTCTTATGTTGTCAATAAGTGAGATCACGGCCTCTACGAATCTTGAACTGCCCTGGCATTTTGTGTTTTCTTAATGTCGTGCAGTTATCGATATAAATATTACACGTGAAGTATCAAACGTGTGTTTAAGTGTACTGTAGGTTAAGATGTATTATCAGTGTGTCATGTGTAACCATATATACCTTACTGAGTGTCATGTGTGGGTAGTCTACTGCATTTATATGAAACGTTATTCATTGTCGTTAACCCCGTTAATCGATCAAGTGATAGCCATCCATTTTAGGTAAATTATAGGTAATTATTACATAAAAGGTATTACATTAAAGTTATTAATTAATTATAAAGGTAATCAACCGGCGTTAGGATCGCAGTGGTCGGTCATCGATGTCATATTTAAAGCCTGCCTAATATATTGCTCAGTTCGGGGAGCTAGGGCGCCGCTAGCGTTCGTCATGTCTTCATTAACTTTCAAAGAGAATAGCTTTGCTTCGCTAATTCAATTGTGCGTTGTGTTTAGTGCAAAACATTCAGCTGTCATCCTGACTAGGTTGTGGCGAAGTGTTTATTATAGTCTTCGAAAATGTCTTCATCTAAAACGTTAATTCAAAAACACGTTTCTCCCATGGCACAATTTTTTCGGTGATATTTTTTAAAAGACATTTCACCAATACTTTGTAATCGTATCTAGAAATTTAATCTTGACTCAGTTTCTCTTGTCTGTCTCTTACCCACTTTGCTACATATACTTCTTTTATGTTACTATACTCTTACCTCTGAAGATGGTCCCGTTCTTGCAACAAATGAACTCTTGAAGCGAAGAAAATTCTACAAAAAGTGATATTCTGAATTTTTTGGTGTTTTCTTTGCTTTTAAATTTCTAAATGTGACGCTGGGATGAGCTAAGCGCAGTCACCAGAGTTGCTTCAAACAGCAACTGAATGAGCATTTATCGTACATATCTAAGTAAATTCCTAAGCGATGTTTTACATGAAATTCTAATTTTTGTGTATAATAGAAGCTAAATTATTAAGTAAATCAAATTTCTATATCATGGAACCTGGATAATCGCGATCGTTAAGCATAAATATGTAGTAGTTTTTAGTAAATGGAAAATAGAACTGATACAGTTTGATGTAACTCGTCATTACCGTGCGGTTATCTTGCACTCACAATTGCACTTATGATCGTTAGGAAAACTTATATATCGTAATAGGTGAGTCGTTTAGATTGAACATCGTTATGAAAACTTTGTATCATAAGATAAACATCGTTATGAAAACGTATCATAAGATTAACATCGATTAGATTGAACATCGTTATGAAAACTTTGTATCATAAGATTTACATCGATTAGATTGAACATCGTTAAGATAACTTTTTATTATTAGATCTACATCGATTATATTACCATTGTATCAACTGAATTTATTTTGAGACTTTCAAGATCGGCGTGTTGAAGAAATGTTGGTTGTACACTAGTTACAGAGTATGATTTCCGTTGATGCATGGAATGCTGTGTTCTCAACAAACAAACTCATGGTTTGCTCCTCCACTGTATTAAGCTTTATCTTGTTCTAAAGTCTTTTTATACCTTCATATGCATCCTTAGAGGCTACCTTTCTTTTGTTTTCTGTATGCCAATACCTTTGCAGTTGTAGCAATCGCTTAGTTTCTTGTGATTTTCATTAATATGCAGGTAAATTCATTACCTGCATCGGTTATAGATCATGGGCCATACTTTAAAAATTCGCTAAGTGAACGTAAGTACTTACGCTTTATTTTCTTGTCCATGATTGGTGGATTTTGCTTGAAAGGCCGTCAATGATTGGCTAATGAACTTAAGATCTCTTAACTTTTTTTGAAAGTATGGGCCCAGAACCATACCGTCTCTGAAGGCCATGGGGCCGCAACTCAGCCAGCCTATTGCCAGCCCAAAGAACCTACCAAGTTCTTGACTGGTTCTCTGTTCAGGTTCAGCACCTGATTATTGGGTGGCAAATTTCTCTGCCCGAATAGTGATTGATTACTTTAGAACCCGGAAAATTAATTTTGTTTTTTGAGCCTGAATGGTGATTGATTGGTCAATTTTAAACCTGAAAGTTAATTCTCTGATTTTTAATTATAGTAAGAATTAGTCTTAGTAATTAGAAACCGAATGATGAAGTTTAGTATCATCGTCACTTCCTGATACTTCTATTAGGTCACAGTAATTTGGCTGTGTAGCGAAATATGAATATCGGTAATCGTGCATGTCCTAAATTAGCATTGCAATTTTTGTGTTCTAATTTGATCTATCAGCGCCAGAATTTCTTGCCAATGAACCAATTCTACTTTATGAAGCTCATTGATTCGTATTTAGTTGTACGCTTTTTCATCGGGCATTGTTCCCTCAATTTTATATGTTTTTATTCTTCAAAAAATTTGCTCCCTTGTTATGCGAGGCTTTCTGTTGTCTTCCCTGCTTATTTCTTTCTTTCCATCTATTTAGTTCTTTACTGTTTATTAGCACATTGCGTTCTCTGCTTATTTCTTTACATTTGAAATTTCATCAAAGTTTTTAACGTACGTAAATTTTTCTTGCTTACCGTCAATTATTGATGACGTAACTCCTTTACCCCGGTCAGTGATGATGGCTGAGATGTTAATGTTGCACGGGCCACATGGCATCTCATAACAAAACTGATAATTTGCCGGTAATGCTGGCGCGTGTGATAAAGGATCGTCATAGAGGCGCAGAGCGGCAGTAGGTTATGTCGCCAGTGATAATGGGCATTAGTGGCGAAGGCCGTTGAAGTTACACACGTGTTTTGATGAGAGGACTCGTTATCTGTATAGCCATGTGTGGGGATGTCCTCTGTATAGACCTGTGTGGGGCTGTTCTTTGAGTAGTCATATTCTCTGAATAGCCTTGTAGGTGGCTGTTGTATGTATAACCCTGTTCTTTACAAGTCTTTCTGTGGAACTGTTCTCTGGCCCTGTGTGGGGCTGCCCTCTATATAGCCCTGTGTGGAGGCTGTCCTCTGTATAGCCCTGTGTGGGGCTGTCCTCCATAGCCCTGTGTGGGGCTGTCCTCCATAGCCCTGTGTGGGGCTGTCCTCTGTATAGCCCTGTGTGGGGCTGTCCTCTGTATAGCCCTGTGTGGAGGCTGTCCTCCATAGCCCTGTGTGGGGCTGTCCTCCATAGCCCTGTGTGGGGCTGTCCTCTGTATAGCCCTGTGTGGGGCTGTCCTCTGTATAGCCCTGTGTGGGGCTGTCCTCTGTATAGCCCTGTGTGGGGCTGTCCTCTGTATAGCCCTGTGTGGGGCTGCCCTCTGTATAGCCCTTTGTGGAGGCTGTACTCTGTATAGCCCTGTGTGGGGCTGTCCTCCATAGCTCTGTGTGGGGCTGTCCTCTGTATAGCCCTGTGTGGGGCTGTCCTCTATAGCTCTGTGTGGGGCTGACCTCTGTATAGCCCTGTGTGGGGCTGTCCTCTGTATAGCCCTGCGTAGGGCGGTTTGCGGACTGTTGCGTGTAGTGTCTTTCTCTGCACTTGTGGCACTCCTAAGAATCTAAGATTTTGTCTTGAGCTTCTTGTTTTTTTTTAACAGTCCTAACAATCAATGGTCTAGTCTAAGGAAATTTTGATGGATTTGAATAATATTCTGTTTGAGAGCGAGATTTGTGGATGAAATATTAACATTTCAGTTGAGTAATTTGGTAATTTGCGAAGTGATGACATTTTTATTTCTAGTGAAACGTTGCAAATTTTCAGCATATCATGCGCTGCCCATTGCCTTCACTTACATTGTTCATTATTTATATGTGCGAGCCATATATAAGGCTCGTATATCCAAATTCGAGAGGAAGCTCGATGAACTTAATCTTAGATTTTTTGCAATGATTGCTGCACTAACCTTTGAATGTAACAGTTTCGTTTATGTTAATAAATTACAATGAGCTATTTGCATCTATATTTTTCCTTGATACAGTATAGAGACGATACCGGGACAAGTGCTTGACTCTGCTCAACCATGCTATTTTCTTACACTTTTTATTACAAATGTATCCAGGTAATGACTAAGCTAAGGTGACATAACGATCAAAATGCTCATAACCAATGTGAAGAAGTTTAAATGCTGGTACGTTTGAGTGACCGCATAACGTTATGTTATTAAATTAACTATTCAGAAACCCCCAAGTCTGTGCTCCGTCAAACAAACGTTCACTTGAATAACTATCCCTGTGATTAGTCATCGCTACTATTACTACTAGGTTAGCACTAAGGCGATTAATCGGCGGTAAATCGTAGCAGACCTCGAACGACCCTTGTCAGGGATTAGGGTTCGATGTTTCTAATTAACACTTAAACTAGTGTAATTTAGCACCTACTGTCTCTGAACACTCTTTACTTCAGTTAGTGTTGTCGATAAATTCCACCTACGCTACGTATCGCTTCTCCCTTCCCCTTAATGGGGCAAGAAACTTCGTCGGTAATGCTGAAAGAGACTGCTGACGACCTGGAGAGTTGTAGCTGTAAGAAGTTCACAGATGTTTCTGCGAGTTCTTCAGAGCTGCTTGGTTTGACATGCAACAGTTCCACAAGAAAGCTTTGGTGATCCGGCGCTGCAGACACAAACGAAGCGACATTTGCGGTATGTTTATTTAGCACTACCGTAGGTAAGTCAAAATCAACGACGGTTAATGAAGTTGCCGTTCCTTGTTGATTCATTATTAATTTAGTGTAGTGACTGTAGTCATTTATATTCTAGTTTCCATTGCAGGAATGGGAACTAAGAGACAGGTGTAAAAATTATAAAATTTTGTATTCGATTAACATCAAAGAATTTTGATTACAGATTACCTAGGGCCTACCCCGGCCTAGCGCCTAGCCTACATAGCAAAGGTACCGCGTTTAGCGAAAAAAAATTCACTTGACGAAAATTAATGCATCATCTGTCATCACAAAATTGTGCATGGAATGTCATAGAAAGAATTGTGCACCGGGCAACATAGCCTATAATGAAAAGCAATTAACCCTTTACCGCCCAAATTTCTAGGACAAAAATCGTAAATTTCACTTTTTCTGAAGACTGAGAAATATATTAAATGCAAGAATTTCAATCTAAATGTGTCGGCAAGATCTTCTGAAGGCGAAAATTTTGCCGATAATGCGTCGCCGTAGGTCTTTAAATCTTCCTTCACTCTCTGCACAGTGGTACCTAGTCTTGTATCCAAGCCAGTGAACTTGAGTGAAGCCACCTTGAATGCCTATTTTGAGGTGCTTGGGACTTTGCCATGCTCTACAGCCTCTACTGAACATTCATACTTATTGTCACTGCAAACCTATCTCCTTCTAGAGTTTTTAAGCTACAGCAATGAAAAATATACCATTCAATTTGAAAATAAAAGATCTAGAGATTGGTTGAAGCTTTTTTTTCAATTTTGTTATAGTTTTGAGAATATTTTGAAAAAAGAGGGGGAAATTCAAAGGGGTGAGGGGAGAAATCAATTTTTTTAAAAATAGCCACGTCAACCACAAAAATTAGAATTTCAAAAAACAGCAAGTAACAAGCGACAGGCATGGAATATATCTACTTGGCGAGCCGCGACTGAATTTTTCAAGCCGTGGTTTTATGGATTTGCATCAGTGATTCCATTTCTTTGAGCCATGATTCCATTTTACCGAGCTGTGAATTCCATATCTTGGCCATGAAAAGCCATTTACAAGGCGCGAATTTCTTTACAAAGTCCAAGCACATGTTACCCAAAATATCTAATTTTACCCTAAAACAGTCCAATGGCAATGATAAAATTTGTCTTTACTGTAAGTTGAGATCGTGTTAATGCATTCTGACTGCTTTGACATGACCGCAACTATGCGTGATCTTCAACAAAACGTTTAGTTGATTTGTTTACATTAGGATGTTTATGTTTTTTCTGCAGGATATGTTGGCGGGAACGGTAAATCAATGCGGATTGCAGAAGTTGAAAATTTTATGAAGTGACATGTTTGCGAAGTGCAAAACCGCAATTTTTCAATCAAACAAAAAGTTATGACATTTGAGCCGCGAGATTTCATACCTACTGAAATTATATGATATTAGAGCCGTGATATTTCAGTCAAAAATAGGACTTTTCCAGCCCTGCCAATCAATAGATATGGTCTATACGCATCAAATGATATGCATCTCAATGTTGAAGCTTGAAAATCCTAGGAGCAGATAGATTTCTACAGTACCGGTACCCCCTTTTTGGTGGTTTTCTAAGAATTTCACATTTTCTTTTATTTTTTCAAAAAATTCACGCGAACAAAAAAGTCCTAGATTTATCTTTTACATATGTGTACCAAGTTTCAAAGTGATCTGTCCGTAAATAACTAAAATAAAATTTCCACAAGAAATTGGAAATTGCCATTGGAAATTTCATTTTGGTTATTTAGTACAGACAGATAACTTTGAAACTTGGTACAGATTTGTAAAAAATAAATCTTAGACTTTTTTTATTCGTATGAATTTTTTCGAAAAAATGAAAGAAAACATGAAATTATTAGAAAACCAATGGTTTTTTAAAGGCGACTTGAAAGTCCAATTTGGCAGTAAAGGGTTAACATAAAGTCTAAACTATGGTTTATTTATTGAAAAAAATATGATGGCTGTGTCACAAAAACATTCCTTTTTGTTTTAACTTTAATCTTTTAAAGTATGTTTTTTACAATATTTTTTTACGGTTTTGGTGAATTCACTTGACCCAAGTAAAATGGTGCAAAAATTACGTTCTAAGTCCTTTAAGCTTGGAGATACAGAACTGAGAACTAACAAAGAAATGGTACCTACCTATATGGCTGTCTTGGCTGCTAAATAGGATGACATTTGCAGTGGCCAGTGGAGACTGGAGAGTAGAAAACTTGACAAGGAGTCCAGTCATGGATGTAGATGTAGTCAATGCTCAATCATGCCCAGCGGCCCCAACCCAATGGCATGTCCATTGACCTCTGACTGTGAGGCTGTGACCATTGTCCATAATTCCATGGATACTGTAAGTGTAATATCACTGCATCTGTATCGCTTCAATAATCTGTCCCAATAATGTTTGGATATGATAATATCATATCAATAAAGGAAAAACAAATACAATGACAGAAAATCTCATTTATTCTACATCTACAAAGGAAGAGTAGGAATTCCGTCTGGATGAGATGAGTCCCTTAAAAGTTGAAATGAGGTAACTTAAACTACTTTTTTATTTTAAATGATGCCATTTTTTTACTAGCTAAATTAAACTTAAATTGAAACATGCAAAATATAGGTCTATACTCTAGGTTCACTTACCATAAATTGCTGGCTCCTGCCTCTCACAGTTTTTATGTAATTTCAAAAAAAGTGATGGTCTTTGTTACCCCAGCTCTTCCTCTTGGTCTGGGGTATCTTAGACCAGGTGGTAAAATCAATTATGTTTTTTTGGTAAAATAACTCCAAATAACTCCAGGTTTTAGAGTACAGCAATCCCTTGATTAACGCGGTTAATAAATCCCCGAGTTTTACCGTGTTAAGCAAAACCGCGCTAATCAAACTTAAGAATATATGGGAATAATTATAATGAATCCTCAAAAATAGCAAAGGAAAGGAAAATTATGTAGTTTGATTACGTAACACCTCTGGCTAGAGGCGGGAAAATGATGCGTTATGAAAAAAAAGTCGTGCTAATCAAAACTGGCACCGCATAGATTAAGGGTAGGTCGCAAATTTTTTTTCCGCGTTAATCAAAACCGCGGTATTCAAAACCGTGCTAATCAAGGGATTGCTGTATTGTAGTAGAACTCTTCTAGTTACCTATGCAAATGACAAATTTGAGGAAAGTGTCATAGTTTGCTAATGGGAGTGCTGCCCCTGAATGAGGGAACTTAGAGAACCTAATGTCAGCCGTGACAGGGTAATATTGACTGCCTGGGAAATTAAGTTAAAATTACCATATATAAGACTCTGTAGAGTCTGAAACATAAAGAAAATACATTAATAGGTGTATCAAACATAAAATATGTTATATATGGTAATATTAAATTAATTTCCAAGCCAGTCTGTTACCCTGTCAAGGCTGACATTAGATGGTCTAAGTTCCCAGGTTCCCCCATTTAAGGGCAGTGCCCCCCCCATTGGCAAACTATAACACTTTCCTAAATTTGTCATTTTCATATGTAACTAGAAGAGTTCTACGACAATGTACCAAAACCTGGAGTTATTTTACCAAATAATAGAAAAATTGGAGGGGTTTCTATGACTGGCTTTAAATAAATAATAGCTCTTTTTTTGTGGGTCACATTTTTCATTTTTTAACCTATTAGATATGCCTAATTTTTTATCTTTCTATTGTGTTAAGTAGCCTCAAGCCTCAGTATTAGACCTTTAATGCCCATTGACAAAATTTTTCTATGTCAAATAGTTTTTAAGTTTTGGGGGTTTTTGTTAAAAAAAATAAAAGTGGTCTAAGTTACCCCCTTTTACGGTACACATGCTTCAAACTTTAAAAGTTTTAAAATAAGGTTTTATTTTTTTTATTTAATTGTCCCAAATTACCCCCTTCACAGGGGTAATTTTGGATGCTTATTTGGTGTCTGGCACCTTACAAATGAAAAGTAGCATATGGAATTTTTAGGAGATGCCTTACATCAGGCATACCTGGGCTGGAAAAGTCCTCTTTTTTCTTAAATATAGCGGCTCTAATATCATATAATTTTGGTAGATATGAAATCTTGTGGCTTTAGCGTCATGTATTTTTGTCTGATTGAAAAAATTGTGGTTTGCACTCTGCAAATATGTAATTTCATAAAATTTCCAAGTTCTGCAATCCATACTATTTCAATGATCCAGCCAAAATATCCTGCACAACAAGTTGACCTAAAACATTTCTTTATAGATCATGTAGTTGCGGTCATTTCAGAGCAGTCAGACTTCATTATCAGGTGATCAATTGCCACTCAAGTGAAGACAAATGTTAGTGTTGACTGTTTTTAGGGTAAAATTAGAGATTAGGGGTAACACATGCACGGGACTTAGTAAAAAGTTCACGGCTGCCAGCTAGTAATGGCTTTTAATGGCTGAGATATGGAATTAATGGCTTGAAGAAATTAAATTAAATGGCTCCAACACTCCAACAACACATAAAACCATGGCTCCACAAAATTCAGTTGCAGCTCGCCAAGTAGATATAAACTATGCCTGAGGCATACCTACAATGGCATACAGATCTTATTAGATTTGCCACACAATCAAATAAGGTCATAACTGATAAGAGACAGTGAGCATTTTTTGTTAATAACTTCTTGCCATGAAACACTTCATAAACAAGTTTTTGCTCATTTCAAAGCTCTTTGCGAGGGCTATTGAATGGGATCTCCAAAAAATTCCATATGCTATTTGTAAAGTGCCAAACACAAAATAAAAGCATCCCAAATTACCCCTAGGAACAGGGTAATCTGGGACACTTGAAATAAAACTCAATTTTGAAACCTTTTCAGCATGCAAAGGCAAAGTTTACTCATCCATAACTAACAGTACTCTGAAGTCCTCCTCTTCCTTTGTAGATGATGTAGATGTAGAATAAATGACATTTTCTGTGATTTGTACTTGTTTTTTTTTCTTTATTGAAAAGATATACGGTACTAACCATATCCATATATTATTGTATTAATGATGTGATATTACCAGATCCATGGACATGCCATTGTGCATTTACAATGACCTTGTCTACTGCAAGCTTCATATCAGCAGCCATATAGCATTTTTTCTGTATCTGTAAGCTTACAGGACAGCTTGTAATTTCACACCATTTTAATTAGGTCAAGAGAATTCACTATAACAATAATATACGTTTAAAAACTACTTTTTAAAGACAACACTTCCAAAGAATTCAGATCTCCAATCTTACAGATGTACAATGAATTTCTCATCTAATTTTCAAAAATTAAAAAAATTACCTTTTCAATATTTTAAATATATATAAAAATTTTTTAAGTAATAAAATTACTAGATTGCTTAAATCGCAAGTTAATCAGGAATTTAAAAGCAAAGAAAACAGCCAGAATATTAACCATTTCTTAAGAATGAAAACGTTTCGGAGTCCAGCTCCTGTCTCTTATACACATCTAGATGTGTATAAGAGACAGGTGTGGGGCTGTCCTCTGTATAGCCCTGTGTGGGGCTGTCCTCTGTATAGCCCTGTGTGGGGCTGTCCTCTGTATAGCCCTGTGTGGGGCTGTCCTCTGTATAGCCCTGTGTGGGGCTGTCCTCTGTATAGCCCTGTGTGGGGCTGTCCTCTGTATAGCCCTGTGNTCATTTATTTTGACATTTGATTCATGCATTGTCTCCAACTTTACACAAGTGGGCAAAATTTCAGATCGATAGGATAAGTAGAAGTGTATTAAATTTTGATTACAAGATTTGTAGCAGACAGACAGACAGACAGACAGACAAGAAGTAAAGTTAAAGAGAAGTGTTGTAAAAATAGAATGTAAAAACTTGCCTGAAACAGAAATTAATATTTTAGTAACAATCATTATATTTTTTGGAGAGATAAATCATAGTTTAGGTTAATTACTTTTCATTCTATGTTGCCCAGTTCACAATTCTATCTATGACATTCTATGCACAATTTTATGATGACCAATGATGCATTAATTTTTTGTTAAGCCAAATTTTCTTGCTGAGCAAGGTAAATGTAATCAAATTTTTTTGTTGTAATTGATTTTTTTATTAACTGGAGCCTTTGCTAACTGTGATTCTACTGTAAATACATTTTTATGGATGTCCCTTATTACCCCAGGGGGGTGTTGTTAGAGGCACTCCTAACCTCCTCCAAGGGCCTGGTACGTTATTGGCTTTTGTCACTCTGCAAACCAGCTAAAACAACCTAATAGCTGGACAAATGAAACGCAATACCAATCAAGCTAAATGAACTCAAAATTGAGAAGACAGATGGGATGTACATTGAGATGATATACATATATGATGGTGAGGGGTTAGTGGGGTTAATGAATGGGACATACACAGGAATACAAATGGATGGATAATAAATAAAGATATTGCAAGAACCCTAAAGCTCTTAAATACCCTTGTGATCAGTGAAACGTAGTAAAAGGAACAGTAAAGATAAGACCTAATAATAAATACGGCTCACAAGATTGCTTATGCAGCACAAGCTATTTTGGCTCACCCTCTGCTCAGGCTTGAGGTTAACAAGCTTCTCTCATGCTTCTTCAGTATCTTTGAATAAGCTTCAGTCAACAGGCATGGGTGTGAGACTGGGTCTATGTACACAAATCGGATCACTTCACATAAGCCACATGGCTCAAGACTGGGCACTTGCTCAATGGTAACACTGGTTATCAGCAAAGCTTGGTGAAGTAAAATATTGAGCTCTCTCACATCTCTCAGGAACTTCCATTTAGGCTTCCCATAGCCAGAATCAGGCAGGAACACTGAAGCACAACAACTGAACACTGGCACAATTTATCCTCTAACCAGTTGGATTTCATTGTACAAGGTGGTACAGGTGGGGTCTATTATATCAGCTGGTTATTGCCTTTCCACAATAAGTGCTAACAGTAACAATACCATGCTAATCATGCCATGCTCAAGAGGTAAATGTGATCAATAAATCTGTCACCAATATTGATAGAATCAATTGTGATCTGCAATTTCAAGAAGCACTGGCAGATAAACTGGTTCTGGCTTGCACTTCACAGGATACTAATCATAATACAGGCTTAGAGGCTAGTGCCAAGACTATATATATTCATTTGTGATCTGTAACAAGAAAAGACACAAGGGATTAGGGAGAAATGCATGAGAGAAGGAATGGCAACACAAAATACACAGAGCAAAAAGCTATTCACTCACAGTGTCCCTTATTACCCCATTATGTGGAAATGGCTGCCATTTTTTTAATGAGATACTACACAAATCCCATAAATCACGTTTGTAAGCCAACACCTGTGTGCAACTTTTATGTGAGTAAAATTTTTAAACACTGCAAATATTTTTCTTGCTACAGACCTTAGCAGAGCCACTTTTCCAAAATTTCACTTTTCTCACTTTTTACGGACTTTTTTTAGGTAGAGAAGTAGTAAATGTACGATTTCTCCATTTGCTTTATGCGACATACCGGTAGATGGTAAAAATGTTGAACTTTTAGCCACTATTTTTAATTTTGCATTATTTTGATTAGTTTAGCTGGTAAAACATTTCTACAAAATGTGGGAGAACTGTTCCGATTTATCCCGCCCATCCCTTATTACCCAGTTTTATGGTATTGTGAACACCATCACTATCAAAATGAGAACATAGAGTTTAGCATCTCTTGAAACTATAATTCACTAACTAAACCAATGAATGATCTACGCATAGTTTTCATCTTAGCAAAAGTAAACAAACTAAGCCAGGTGGGTCATTTGCTGGCCGCTGCTATCCGTATCTACAGAAACTTTACTCTGCATGGATGCAGAAATTGATTGTTTCAAATTCTTTTCCTTTTTGTTTCTTTGTGAAGCTGAATTTCAAAGCATGATACACCAACATGTCTGCTGCAGTTGCTCCATGAGATTATTTGCAGTTGCTGAGAGATCTTGTAACCAATAAAACAATTAGGCAATTTCCTCTGCAGATATGAAGACATGTACATTTATGTGCTAGAGATTAGCTCATGACTCTGCCAGACTTTGTTTCAACAAACACCCACAATTCTTTTTCAGCCATGAACATGTCTGCAAAAATGGCATTTTAAATTGACAAAAGTCAAATTTATTTGTTGAAATGTTGGTGCTGCTGGCTGACACTGTCTTATGTTTACTTAGTCCGCACTTGCGTCTTGTGAGAGGTGGTGCTTGTGTGCTGTGGGGTAGTCTGTGAAGGAGCATTGATCAGTCCAAAATCTCAAAATACTATGTTCTTTTGCATTACTTACCTATAGAATAGCACCATTTTTCATAGCTCATTTTTTATTCATTTTATGTATAAATGCAAGGCTTAAAAATCCTTTTAGTTGTGGAAGATTAGTAATTTTACATCTAGGATCTGTTCTAAATAGGTATGTTTTGACAATTTTCGATTCCATCTAATCTCAATTAATCTTTACAGAACTCACTCTTGCTTACCATTTATTATTTTTTGTCTATTTGCTTACCATTTATTATTTTTTTCCCTTTATGTATTGCTGTTTTGAAGTATTAAAAGAGGGCCTTTCTCATTCTATCTCATCAAAAATGTTGGCCTTGTTTCTGAGTAGGTAGACATTTTGCTTCCAAAATTGTTGTTCCAAGTTTTTTTGGAAGTTACACATCTTATTTATGTTTTTCAGAGATAATTGGTCATGGCGTTAGTTGCATACAGTGATGAAAGTGACTTGTCATCTGATGAAGAAAAAGTTGAGTCATATAGGAATATCCCAATCCCCTCTGGCTATAAACCTGCCAATGATTTCCCTTCCCCTCAAATTTTGAACAATCGTAAAATCACTGATGCTTCTTCCAATCATGAGATATCTTCTGGAGTGGATTCCATTGAGATGGATGAAGATGATGACCATATGTTTGCTGTTCCTGCTTCCAAGTCCAATTTAAAGTCCCCTGCTAGTTTGAGTCTCTTGTCCAGCTTGCCTGCAGCCATTGCTGCTGGAGCAAGCATGGCTAAGCTGGATTTAAGTGATGATGAGTTGACTGATGTCCCTACAAAAGAAACCTGGAAACCTGCTCAGGAAATTCTCATCAAAAAGGTGATATTTCTGTATTTATAAAACTTGAATCTATGTAAACCTCAAAAAATACTTGTTAGAAATATACCTACTGTGGCTATTATAGTATTAGTTATTATTGATATTCATGAGCAATTTTTGAGGAATTTTGTGATTAGGATATTGATCAACAATTTATTCCAGGCCATCTCATCAAACAACCATGCAACTTCTCAGCCTTCTTCTCCAACCTACCATATCAATCACAAAACTTCCAATAATTTGACTGTAAATTCGAGAACTAAGAGTGGTCTAACTGTAGGATCTACTTCCACTAGTACACACAGTGAGTCAAACACAACTAGTGACAGCACTGCCACCAGTTCAAGTAGAGTTATCAACAGTAGTACAAGTGGAAGATTGGCCAGCACAAGTGGAAGCTTGGCCAGCACAAGTGGAAGCTTGGCCAGCACAAGTGGAAGCTTGGCCAGCACAAGTGGAAGCTTGGGCAGCGCAAGTGGAAGCTTGGCCAGCGCAAGCGGAAGCAGTGGCAAAGTGGTGCTGAGCAAAGCCCAAGAGATGGCATTGGCCTCAAGTGCCCTTGGAAGTTTACTGCAGAAGAAGAAAACTCTTGGTGGTAAAGTTCAGCTTCATTTGCCCTCCATGAACGAGGTGAATTCATGACTAATTTTTGACTTTATTGCTAGTATTAGCTATTATTACTTACAATATAGGTTCTATACTTGAAAATAAAGTTTGAATTTTAATTCATAGATGCTTTTTTTGTATTTCTTAAATTCTTATTTAAAGTTAATTATTTGATGCAATTTTATCTAATTTCAGTAACTTTTATAACTTTGAATTGGCTCTTATATTTTTTATTTAATGTCTTTTGTGGACCAATAAATGCCATGAGAGGAGCTTCATGAAGAAAAATGCAAAATTATTACTACATGGTTAAATTAATTTCAGACTTTCAAGTAAGAAATATTGGCTAAATTTTTTTCCAAATCCTGAAATATTTAGACTGGTTTATGTGTGTGTGTGTCTCAGCATAACTATTGGAGCTCCCACTCAGACCTGCTCGAAATAACATTGCAGATATTTATCCATTGTATCTTTTTTATGTTTAAATAACTTCATATTTGTTTTCATCTGTTTTGCATACATGTTGATATTGCTATTTTTTATGATTTTGTTGGTAAGATCAGAGGGCAGATATGAATATATCCGATAGGTACAGTAATATCCTAGCTAACCTTGTTGTGAATAACTTATTTAATCTATACTATTAAACCAAAAATCTTCAATTTGTATCCTCAATGCATGTGTATAAATATATAGATTTTAATTATATTTATTACTTTTTATCTTCAATTTTAACCTATTAAATAAGTAATAAATAATTATATTTCTGATTTATTCAATCAGTTTAAAATTGTATTCAAATTGCAGTTCAATTTGGCTGAAGATGAAGGGGATGAAGGAGTCCCAACAGCAGACGCGGATGACGCTGTCAACGTCAAGAAGAAGCTAGGGCCGTCCAATGCAGGTACTGGGCTTTTCTCCCTGCTTCCTAAACCAAGAAATGTCACTAAAGGCAAAGAAGCTAACAGGTCTTTAGTCCCACACATACTATCTAAGCCCCCTGCAAATAAGCCAACCCACAATAAAATCCACAAGTCTCCTGTCAAAAAGAAATCTAGTGCTTTAACAACCGCTGGAATAAATATTTCTGGCGGAGGAAACCTCCTTGCTGACTATGAGATGCCAGGTGATGAAGATGAGGAAATCAGCGAGGGTTCGTCTGACTTTTTCTCACTGGAATCTGACCATTCTATTCCAGTGCCTACTAACGCACACATTGAGAACTCTGTTATTGACGAAACATTAGGACGTCCTGATGGATGTTCAGCTGGGTTGTTACCTACATTTTCATCTCCGGATTCCATTGTCAGTAATTCTGTTTCAGTTTCGCAGTGTGCGCCATCTTCCCCGTCTGCGTACGTCTCTGTGTCCAGTACTGGAGTTCCGATGCATACTTCTCTTTCTAATCCTGTTATGTCAACACATGATACATCAGACATACCTGCGACAGATTCTTTTACTTCTGGTACGATCGATCCAAGCCAAATCGACGATGAATCATGGCGAAGACTCACAGGCAAGAAGCGTAAATTGGATGAGCTTGAAATAATAGATGTCAATCGCGACGACGCGTTGTTGTCTCGAGATGAACTTATGAACCAAGTTGTGTCTCAGCAAAAACCAAGTCAAAGCCACAGCAAAAAGAAGGGAAATCTGCCGTCACAGCAGCAGAAACGCAAGCACCAGATCACGTACTTGGCCCATCAAGCTAAGGAGAGAGAAATTGAACTTCAGAATGAGTGGTCCAGTGGAAAGATGAAGAAAATGCAAACTAGAGCCAAGTATGGCTTCTAAACTTAGCCTGCTGACGGCTGCCTGCGAGCTTTTAAAAGCCATTTCATGTTGAAAAATTGTGTGTTATCGGATATTTTTTCCATTAATATTATTACTTTTACTGTAATATTGCTTCATCCGAGTTTACTGAGTACGTATTTGGTAATAAAATGCACAACCGGATTCTGAGTTAGTTGTGAACGTTCATGTGTGAAGCTAAAACACTTTTTGTACATTATTTTTTTACGCCCCTTAAAGAATAAACCGTAAATTTCGAAGTCGCCACGATGTGGATGAAATTAATTTCCTGTGCGTTTTATAACTGAGCAAAATATTTATCTCAAATCATCTGCAGTTACCGTCCTATGTCACCTACAGTTCTTTATAAACATGCAATTTGAATTGAAGAAATCATAGACCGCTTTTCCTTCATGTATTCGATGCCATACGGTACTTAGGTGGTTCAAGTATCTGCACTATTCATAAATAAATACAAATTTATATGTTAATTCATATATTTTACATTAGTCTTGATATCAATTGACAGTTGAATGTAAAATATTCAGGTGGTGAGGCATGTTGTGAAAGTAAATGTTTCCATACCGGGCGCAGCAACATGGCAAGTGAGACGAAAAACGATTGAAATTTCTAATTTTATGCCCAAATTTTTTTAGTTAAAATATGGATATTTTTACAAGTCCTCCATCGAAACTAGAAATTTGTACAAGTTTTCCATCGGAAGGTGATATAGGTATTTGCGGCCACCTTCAGAAAGCGATAGAATGCAGGTAAATGCACTTCAAAACCCAGCTGTGGTCAGTTTCAGTATGCCGGCTGTATTCACTAACTACGACGAGCTATGCTTGTGTTCGTAACATCTGATTCTTTTATCTATGACCTATACGGAGATTCGAAGTTGGGTGCTGGAAACAACTGCATTCATCCACTGCGCAAGAAGAGATCTATGCAAGCCTCGGCGCCATGTTCACTGGAGAACACTGGTGTTCTGTAGACGTTGTTCTGGAAATAAACCTAAACTCGGTTTCTGATTATGATCAGGAGATTAAAGATCTTCATACCTCTTTTCAAATTGCAAACTCTTATACAGAGACCTACGTACTGCTCATTGATCAGGTTTGAACAACGTAACATTGCTCTAAAATTCCTCTGTCATTGTTGCTTTCACTGCAATGCCGAATTCTCAAATCAATTGAATGAATGTCTTTAATACTTTGTACGACATTGACCCTATAATATCAGCGTGTCAGGCACGAGTGTTGTTTAGATCATGTGAGTATCCTGGCCATGATTGTGCGACCTGGTTTTAAACCGGTCCCATTGCAAGGACAATAACTAGAATTATTCTTATTTTCGGTTGGATTATAAATGCAGCAAGATATTGCGTTCATTTATCAGTGGAAGTTGAATTTATCAATTAGTTTTCATGAGCAGTATCTGCTGAGTTTAGGTACAAGATGTCTACCAATTTCTGGAAATATCAGACCCAAGCCTGATGGTGAAGCTTTTGTTCTAGCGCCGAGTTAGGTAAATATACGGCTTGGATATGAGAAGATATACGCATACCGGAGGATGTACGCATACGTAGAAGATGTACGCATACGTGAAGATGTACCCATACGAGAAGATGTACCCATACGAGAAGATGTACGCATACGGGAGGATGTACGCATACGAGATTATGTACGCATACGAGATTATGTACGCATACGAGAAGATGTACGCTTACGAGAAGATGTACGCATACGAGAAGATGTACGTATACGAGAAGATGTAAGCATACGAGAAGATGTACGCATACGGGAGGATGTACGCATACGAGAGGATGTACGCATACCAGATGTATATCGTCTATCATATACTGCTTCCCTGTGCCACATCGCATTAGCGCTTCAGGCTTATTAACTTCAACGTCTCCAATATATAAAAAAAATCCGGTCTCAGCCAGCCGTGAGTGGTATTTGAAACTGAAACATCCAAGCCAGTAATCAAGTTTTGAGAAGTTGTGTTGCAAGTACGCGCAATAAAGTCAGTATCAAATTAATTTTTAGCCCATACGGTACTACAAAGGAAATAACATTATTATTGCAGTTATTTTTTACTTCTTTGTTCGAGTGAGAGATCAATATCTTAATGAACAGTTTTCAACGTAATTTTAATGTAATGTTCACCTCTATGCATTTCAACACATCCTGACACTCTGTATTAATGAATTAAAGTTTGAATAAAATTAATAAATATTAATGTTGGCACCACAGGAAAGTATATGACGTGATAACTCCCACTGACTATTATTTTATTAGTCATATAAGTTGCAGCGTTGAATTGGCCAAATCTCGATTGCCTCTTGTTCAAGAATTCTCACAGCTGTCAGGGATTTTGAACCCGCAAATCATTGTTCCAATTTTTGTACTTTTAACAAGCTGCGCTATAATTTAAATATATTTACCTGCAATTGTGCATTTAATTTTTGAGTGCAAACATTCTAGATGATATGCCTCAGAACTGACGCGCCGATACGCCTCAACGGACGAGTAAAAACGCCTCACAACATGCCTCTTCTGTTGTTCTTCACCTTTCCCTTTTTGTTTCCGTTGATTTTCATCAGCCATTTCTTCGTATCCGTCGCTCTTTATCTTTCCCTTTATCGTTTTCGGGGCTTTTCACCAGCCATTCCATCGTTTCTGTCGCTGTTCACCTTTCCCTTCTTCGTTCCGTTGCTATTTTCACGAGCCCTTTTTTGTTTCCGTCGCTCTTCACCAGCCCTTTCTTCGTCTCCGTCGCTCTTCACCTGCACTTTCTTCGTCTCCGTCGCTCTTCACCTGCCCTTTCTTCGTCTCCGTCGCTCTTCGCCTGCCCTTTCTTCGTCTCCGTCGCTCTTCACCTGCCCTTTCTTCGTCTCCGTCGCTCTTCTTTGAAGGATATGTTGGTTTGGCTTGTCGCTGATTCGTGTAATGCTCTTGACTTGTATATTGGACATCGAGAAATTGCCTCTTGACTAAATCTATCCAAAACTAAGGGTGAAGCACCGTAGCTTCATAACATCCATAAATTCGTGAGTTGAGAGGCACTTCCAGTCGAAATCTTTATACTCCTGCAAAGCTTTATCCAGTCTGTTCTTGAAATGCATTTATACTCGGAGCGTCCATTCAAGATGCTAGTAGGGGGTTTCTGCTCTGGTTAAGTAATTGTGATAGAATAGGTACTGTGCGTTGTTGATAGGGATTTTTCCGTGAACATTTCTTCCGTTGAAACCCCGATCAAACTTTTACTTTGAAACATATTTAAATAGGTACAACTTTGACCGTCATCAAACATAAAATTTTCGTAAAATTTTGGGAAAATTAAATTTTAAGGAAATTTTAAGCAAGACTGGCATTACTTTTAATAAAATGAACTTGAATAAAAGGCTTCTTCCTAAATATACGTAGTATTGATAAATCTAAACAAGTTGACTTTCTCTTGTAAATAATGACTTAAATTATTGGCTATATTTATTTTTTCCCTCCTAGATCGATTGTGTTGGACCATTGTGAGCTTGTCGATATTTCTTCAAAAAATTGAAATCCATTTAACTCTTTCTTTCACTGATTCAAAATTATATATGATAAGTGAGCTAGTTAAACCATATTGGATCAATAGGGTCCGACTTAAAAAAATACAGCAATTATCTCGTGGTCAGTCAACTGGGGCCATGCATAGGCTGCAGCGCAACAGCCGTCCTCGTACCCCGAGGCTGACGTGCCAAGCACACACTTCCATCTTCTCGAATTTCGGACATTTTTCCTCGTGCGCTCTTCCTCCTTCTCGAAAACCTCCTAGCTTTTTCATTCTTCATTTCACACAAACTATAAAATCATTGCTAGTAAAAACGTTGAAGACTTGTTCAATTTGAGTTTATATAGGATATTTATTGAGATATGAATGTGACTTATTCTTGTCTTATCAGACGTGGCCCGAAAAAACACGTGTTGTGTCTGGGTGCGAGTTACATCATGCAGAGCTGAGCTGCCGTGCCACTGTGGCACATCGTCCGTCCGTGTTTAGTGTTGTGCGTTATTTGTGGTGCACTAGAGTGCGGCGAACGTTGTTGCTCTTCATCATTCATAAGCAATATTAATGATTTTCTCATATGTTAGTGTTCGTCAGCGAATTTATTTTTCCCTGTTGATCGAAATTTTAGGAAAATTTGTGCTTGTTTCATTCATTTTTATCTACGATGAAAACTGTGACAAATTTCTTCACTCTTTGGAACCTTAATTTTTTGTCATTCCGTGACATTTGTTAACTCTTGTTCATATTCTTGCTTCATTACGTNGCCATCGACAAAGAAACTTATCATTGCCATCGACAAAGAAACCTAGCATTGCCATCGACAAAGAAACTTATCATTGTCTCGTATTGAAATTTGCGATCATTGTCTGTTTCTGGATTAAAATAATTGTTTGCGGTATCCAATTTTTTAAAAAATCGAATAATTTGTGGCATTGAATTGACATTTTACGTAAATGGAACAAATTAAAGAAAGGTTATGACGAATATATATCTTAGTTAACAATGCATTGGCCGAAGACAACCTGCAATTAAAGGTTCACCTGCTGAATCTATCATGACTCTAGATAAATTATTCATCTCTACAATGCTTCTAGTTAAAAAAGAAAGAAATAATTCATTTTAGTTAAAAAAAGAAAGAAATAATTAATCACTACGCGATTAAAGTAGGCCATCGGTTCAGGTTGTAGACTTTGCAGCCAAAAAATTTCTTCGAATCAAAGAAAGTTTGTGTTGATTTCTGTGCAGAAAAATGCTAGAGTGTGCACGGTATGGATCCTCTGGTGGTGGATGAAGCTCTGAGTGATTACTTCGGTGAGTTCTCATTTAGGTTATTAGTTTTGATTGTGCTTCATGTTTATCATAAGGTTTTCAGCATCAAAAATTAAAGTTAGAACATTATTTTCATGCATGGTAAGAGTAAACAAAGACATTGATGTAACTGAAAAGTTACGGCAATAAAAACGTTTCATAATCGGTAAGCATAGATTGTAGTATGTTTATTTTTTAATAGTATTCCACCTAATAAATAATAATTAATTGATCGGCTACCAATAACTTATGAACATTAACGATGTGCCGAGCTGTGCACTCTAACTAAACTATAAAATTCATTTAAATAAAAAATTTCACCGGAAATAACAGAGACGACATTTGAACTTGAAAACAAAAACAGAGACTACTTTTTTAATTTCATAGAGTCGCGCTGCCGAACTG